CACAGGTATCGGCGGCAATCGATTGTATTTGTCAAGCTTTATAATATAATTTGTTTAAGTTATTTATTATGAATTATGCAGGAATAACTTTTTTTTCACACAAGAATATTTCAGCATTAAAAATAAAATGTGAAAAGGATATTCTGATAACCTTACTTAGATGTCCGACGTCAGATCATACTGCATTTTAAAAGTCCATTTAAATTGTCAAATTAGAAATTGTAATGTCGGATTTTTTAACATCTGTGATCATTAGGTGAAATTTCTGAACTGCCTTTTTATTTTATAACCCTGCCATGATTTCGCACATGAAAATACAATGTAATTGTAGGTACATCTTAATGAATTATAAGTATACTATACATGATGAAGCAAAGAAGAATTTCAATATATTTTAAACTCCCTATCAATTTCTAGTTTATTATCTTTAAAAAAATTGAGGACAGTTGTTTAGGGGAAGAAGTTCAAAACAACCAAAAATAACTTTAAATTCTGAGAAAAAAATCTTAAAATTTCAAACTATAAAATGGAATTTCAGACAGTCCTCAGTAAAATGCAATTGTCGAACAGATATGACGGGGTTTATGATAAAAACGCAGCAAGCGGAAATTTAGTGACGCTTATTTAAGACGTAGAGTAGCATAACAATGTAAGACAGATGGGAGAAATAGTCTGATTAGATTACTGTAGTCGTCTGTTAGAACGTCTGTCGCAAAATGACACCAAAACCTATATCCATTTAAAATTCCATGTTATCTAGTTCCCGCTTTTCATTGAACGGCACCTCGAATGTGTTGCATTGAAAGTTCCATGATTACCGCCATATTTTGTACACATCTGTGGGTGTTGATTAAAATTTCTACATTATTATGAATAAGTGATGAATTCTGTTGAAACCGGCGCAAGGGAGCACATGTACCTACCAGAGCTGTCTTTGGCACCCATGTGTATTTATGTTTCGGTTTTGCAGTTTCAGGCGTTTTTTTGGAGGGCGGATATGTGGATAAGTTTTCCTGTTTTCTTTACATTTCTTTGCTTGCTTGTCGAACCTTGTATTGATAATCATTATCTGTTTGTTATAGTTCGGTTCGGTATACAAGTATAAAATATGATAAACAAGATGAACGAGGAAAGGCCGCGTTCAATGAACGCAACCCCCGCACGACCCAGGAACAAGAACCATTTGCAAGGAACCCAGGAGGATCCTAAACAAAAACAGGACGGCGCAAGAGAGAGCACGGTCTGGCTTATCACTAAAATGATACAAAATGATAAATATAAAGAAATAATGGTAACATACAAGGAAATCAAAATCAAAGAAAATAAATAAATGAATGATTAATAGGACCATTAAGTAAACTGGCACAGTGGTAGGGGATAGGAAATTCGGGGAAGGGGGAGGGGGCGGAATAAGAAATAAAACTAGGGGCAAAGGGAAGATACTTACCATAGACGAGAAAACAACAAGGGACACAAACAAAAGTGTCACCAAAACAGTATGAAACAACAAGACATACACCTTATACATGTATAAGTCTCTTAATCTGTTCATTTGAAAATTCTTATCTTCTCAATGACCTTTTTTTAATATCCTCTACTTAAAATTTATTTCAATTAAAATATGTGACCCTTCTCTTATAGTTACACAGCATATGGCTGGATCACAATAAAGTTCCTTTTTTAGTAAATTAATAAAGTATGTCAAGAAGACATTTAACTTTATCAGTAGGTTTAATATGGTATTATAATATATATCAGCAATAGGTGAAAAAGAATTCCTTTATTTCTTTTACATTCTTAATTGTCATTTAAATATGCATGTATAAATGAAGTTAGTATTTTATCGGCAGTCATTAGCAGTAAACAAGAAGGCAAACCATCTATTGATAAATGTTGAGTACATGTATTAAAACATTTAAAAAATATTAAACAACAGTACTTGTACGGAGCCTTAGTATTTGCTACCATTGTATTTTAAGTTTAACACATTGATACTTTTCAAAAGTATTTAATAATGCACAAATTTATTTAAAAATAATGAATAGATTTATTTCCCCGGTATTTTTTTTTTAAGTTTAATCTTCATGTGTAACCCACACTTACCTGCTAGACACACTGGTTGCTACTACCAGCTTTCACGGAATCGATTTTTTACGATGACGTCATAACATGTCCGCCGGAGATAGTGTATACAGTACAAATTTGAAATAAATCGCATGTATGCGTTAAGACAGGTACAATCTAATAGTTTTTCTAGGAAAAGTTAGTACTAAAATTTATATTCTATTGATTTTTAGAGGACATTGAAGTTACTTTCAGGTTTAAGCAGTAAAAATCAGTCCAAACTATCGATAGTGTTGCCGGTAGATTTTCCGTGCGTAAAAATGACAGTTAAAATTAGGCGTAACGGTTTGACAGTAAGAAAAAAAAATCTGTAAAATGGGTCAAACCGTTCACGCCAAATTAATTAGGCTACTCCTCCATATGCTCTTTTTCACAGACACTTGGGGCTCAAAACGCCTTATAAATACAAAATAAAATGCATATTAGTCAATCCCAGCACATGTACTGATCATATATATCAAAAAACTTAATATTAGCCGTTTTGAAAAAAAAATCATATTTCAACGTCTATAATAATATTGCTTTTGAAGGTGTTAAAATGTAATTGCCTTGGAAATATGAGAACACAACTTAACTCACTAGGCAGCAGATAGGTGTAAATTGCTGTGTTGTTTAAATAATTGCTTACATGCAAACATTAAATGGAATAAACTATGATGTAATTGACATGTCTTTGCTACAATATTCAACGTATTTTCCTGAATTTTATTCCTCTAACTTTTTTTATCTTTGTTAAACTGATTTAAGTACCACGGAAATATGATCGAGGAACCAGTATAATTATAGACTGTAACATCTTAGGGCCACAAATGACCCAAAATTCTCATATAAATATTATGATTTGAAGTCGTTTTTTATTCTATCTTAAATAATGTTAAAGGGAGTTTCAATATTCTGTCCAAAAAAATCACTGTATTAAAGAGTGTATGTGTAAATTGAAATGTTTTTGATTAGCATTTGAGGACAAGTTTTATGTTTTTTGAGTCTGCAATCTTAATTTATTCAACCTAAATTCTAAAAGGGATTTTTAGCTCGACTATACGAAGTATATGGAGAGCTGTCCTACTCGCCGCGTCGGCGTCCGCGTCCAGATTTCAGATTAAAGTTTTGGTGCAGTAAAATATTTTTCACTATAACTTTGTCATTTCTTAAAGAATCAACTTCAAACTTCAAATATATGTTCCTTATCATCAACCACATCTTATGTGACAAGGTTCATAACTCTAGCACCAATATTTTCAGATTTATCTACCCTTGAACTTAGAACTTTCCTTAAAAAATACTATTTTTTACTGTTACTTCTTTATTTCTTAAGGGATCAACCTCATACTTCAAATATATGTACCTTATCATCATCCCCATCTTATGTGACAAGGTTCATAACTCTAGCACAAATATTTTCAGATTTATCTCCCCTTGAACTTAGAATTTTCCTTAAAAAATTACTGTTACTTATTTATTTCTAAAGGGATCAACTTCATACTTCCAATATATGTACCTTATCATTAACCACATCTTATGTGACAAGGTTCATAACTCTAGCACCAATATTGCAAGAAATATCTTCCCATAAACTTAGATTATTTTACTTTAAAAATGTTACTTTTTTACTTTAACTTTTTTTAGTTTTAAAGATATCTACCTCAAACTTCAAATACTTATTCCTTATCATCAATTACATTTTATGTGACAAGGTTCATAACTTTTGAAGTAATATTTACAGATTTATCTTTCTTTGAACTTTAGAGTTTCTTTAAAAAATACATGTATTATAACTTCTTTACTTTTTAAGGAATCTACCTTCAAACTTCAGATATATATTTCTTATCAATACACACATGTTGTGTGAAAGGTTCATAACTCTAGCATGACTTTTTCTAGAATTATTCCCCTTGATCTTGGAATTTATGGTAACAAATGATATTTTTTTACTATAACTTAATACATAATTATACATAATTGGTTTTTCTTTCATAGTTTTGTCCTCCTTACTGCGTCCAGTATTTTATTAGTCGAGCTTGGCTGTCTCCTGTGACAGCTCTTGTTTAACAATGAGTTTACATTGTAAATTCACTAAATTGTGAGGGACAGGGTCTTTGGTATGCCAGAACTTGAACTTCTTTCCTCAAAGTTGGAAGCAATCTCCTTTTGTTTTCAAATTTTTTTTCAACATTTTGGGAATGCCATGAGCACTATATGCAAAAGCATCATAAAAAGTCCAAATTGGGAAACTAATACTGCTGGACAGTTGATGAATAAAAGAATAGCTTCTATTTATTAGCTTTATATTCATATTTCTTGTATAAGTAATATCAAGGGATTCTTTTTTGAACAAAAATGCTTTTTGCAAAGAAAATCCAGTGATTTTTCTACTTTTCGCAACAACCCATACCCCTAAAATTGTGAATTTTTAGCACGATAATCTGTTAAATTGTGAAAAAATAAACAAGAATAAATCATCACCTGTAGTCACTTTATTTATATATTTTAATAATTATATTCATAGTTTCAACATTCTTCTTTTTATTCCCTCAAATATATCAATCAAATTCTCAAGATTGTCATTTGTCAGTTCATTATTTTGTTTGGTACTGAAAAGCAATCCTGCCAATTGTGAATTTTTTACACATTTTTGTGAATTTTTTTTATGTGTTTTTGGCATTGTGAAGAGGCCTTATTTCGAGGTCAAAATCAACCAAAAAAAATCACTGAAATCAACAACATAAATGCAGACTTTTATGCTTATCATTTGGAAATAACATATGTTTTCACTACCTGCGGGTAGTAACTTTCTAAGGGTAAAAGGTTTTCGAAGATCTACTACAAAATACATAAAGATGTTTCTCCCCTTTATTTCCGGGAGTAAATTAAGTGTTATGAATAAAGCAACAGTTGTCTACCTTTCAGGTCAGTTTGCTTGCATGATGGAGGGGCCTCCAATGGCAGAAGGGGTTGTGATGTCAACGGCACATAATGGTATAACTGTTCAGATTATACAAAGTACTGCAGGTGACCTCCCCACTCATGGAACTCCTCTTATTCAGGATCTGTATCATGATGAACCAGGGGTTGCACAAACCCTCTTAGATATAGCACAACCAGGACTTGTTTCGGAGGACCAGGTATTACAGGGGGTTTGAATTGTCAATTGTCCATCTTTAAATTTATGCCAGAAATCATAAATACTAGACATATATGGATTTTTTTAACAGCTACTTTTAAAACAAATAACTAGACATTCAGTGCTTATTTCTTTAAGAAATAAGCATCAAACATTTCTAAAACTGTTATATATGTATTTAAACCTTATAAAACTCATGTTTGTCCTTTCTAAGAATGAAAACTTTGTTTCTCAGGCATAATGTGCCTTTAAGTGGCATAAGGGATGTGCCTTTAAGTTGCATAATAGGGAATGAACCCTCAGAATAAGAGTGACTTTGTTTTCAGTATTGACTTCGTCTTGTTAACGAATGTTAATTCTTATCTTGAATTCTGTTAAAGCAGGTGGTTGATTTGGGGCATGTAGATGAAGCTGCCCAGCTACAAGATCCTAATGTTAAAAACGATGAGACAAGTGATAGGGGAGCAGGTGGTGATGTTCCTATGGAAGATGATGAAACTGTCTTAGAAAATGAAAAACAACAAGTGGCAAATGATTTAAGATCCCAAATAGCTGAACTAGTAAGCATTTTCACATAATTATCAGAATTCCAAATATTCTTGTTTTAAGTTCTAACAACCTTCATTTCTCAGAATTTTTCTATCTTTTAATCTTTTTACTTTTGCTTTCACCATTTCAGTGCCAAATTGATTAGGTTGCTTACTTTATGTAAATTTATTCCCCAACACTGTTGCATTCTTTTATGTTTGGAAATCATCCAGCAAGTTATGTAGAAATTTTGAGCGTAATCTTAATTTCTCAGATTGACTGAATTTGATAAGATTAAAAGTTCATTGATCATGTGAATATGATGTGATTGTATTTACTTTTGATTTGCAAGTTATCAGGTGGGTGTAGTTTACAGGGGCCTCTGTGACCAAGTAATTAAGATTACTGACTTTAATCACTCGCCTCATGTCATATCAGTTCCTGTCAGGGAATTTAGTTTATACAAATTTATTTTAGTTTGATTTTGGTAGCTGTAAGCTTATAGAAACATGCTCCAAACCGTTCCTGGAACCAACCAGTACTAAGCAATGAATGTAAAGATTCTTGCTCAAGGAACCAACGGCTTGCCCCTGACAGGGTTTGAACCCATGAGGCCAGCAATTCTTAAACGTGTTAACCACTCGGCTGCACCACCACTCATAAATTTGTCAGGGAAGTCGGATACTTTCATGAATGAAAGCTATCCAGTTAGCTTACAAAAGGCTTGTAGTTTTAACTGTTTTACTCAGGTTGTCCAGTCATGCCTGAAAAGATGCACAAAGCACCTGAGGTCTTCCTGGAAAGTTGACATTTGACCAGCTTTACTGTGTTGGTGTGTAAATGATAAAAAGCTAATTTGTTAAAAAAAACTGATAACTTACGAAAGAATGGTTTAAAGTAACTTCATTATTTTTTGGGGTAAAGGCAACATTACATATGTATGTTTGCCATGCACAATCTATGAAGCAAAATGTCAATTTATACCTTGTTCAGACAGATGTTGCTATTTTAGTTATGTGGGTACACTATTTTCCATGCATTAAGATATGAAATGTTTACACATTCATTTGTTGTTTTTTTAAGTGTCATCAACTGGCAGATTTAGGTGAGGAATGTTTCCTACTGTCCTTGAGGGTATCAGATGGTACCTGCCATCATGTTGGCTCTATTAAGGGAGATCACTTTTGTCTCTTACGACAAGAAATTGCTAAAGACTTTCACAACTTCTGTTTTGGTAAGCTATTTTTTTAGTATCTCATTGATGTGTATGTATATGGAATGACCGATAGTTTTGAAAATTTGATAAAAAGGTCTCAGTATAGATAATATCAATTATTTAATACCTATTATTGTTATTCTTGCATAAAAACTGAGCATGCATGTATATATTAATGGAGAACAAAACATGCATTTATTAATAGGTTATCATGACCATGCCCCATTGTTTCACATTTTTTAATATGCAGAATCCAGGGATCAATGTAAAACAGCTGAATGCAATGACGGCCCTGGTAGTTTTTATTATGAAAACTTAATTGTCAAATGATGTCTCACCAGCATGTGGAAGGCATCGAACACCCAGTGGTTTTTTTATATGAAGAACAAATAACAAAACATTTTTTACCTGATTTGGATGTATACTTTTATGTAAGAACAGCACAAATGCATTAACATATACAATAGCTCTAGAGGTTATTAAATCCTTCACCTTGCAGGCTCGGACTTCAAATGGGTCCTCCTGCTTCTGCATATGTTAATGCACAATAAGGTCCATTCTTCCTCTATTATGTTTTGATAAAATCTTGATAGTTGAATTTAGCAGTACTTTCCTTAGAAAGTATCATTTACTTTTATAGTGATTTCTTTAATAATTGAATAGGTAAGGCCTATTCATAGAGAGAAATGTTTTGATGAAGTTTTCTGAACATAACATCTTTTTTCCCTGGGGCATGGCAAAATTCCTTAATTACGTCTGATCTTGAATGTGGAATGTACTGGCAACTTGTCTCTCATCCCTGTATTTTTGTCACTTGCGAAGAAATTGGTAACTATCGGTTACTTATCCAATAAAGCTGACTGTGGATTGTGACCTTCAAGATAATTACCAAAAATGTGTTCGAATTGGCACAAAGACTATATAGACAACATGCATGTATAAATGTAGGAAAAACAATTAATTTCAAGGATGTTTAACTGATTACTTTTCAGGAATAGAAGATCTGCGAGCTGAAGAGGAAGAAGACTTTCAGGACATGCCAGATGATATAGAAGCTGATAACCAATTAGATGATGATGATGATGGTATATCTAACCAATTAGATGATGAACAACAAGAGCTCATGGATGTTAGTATGATGTTGATTAATGTTGTGAATTGTAGCAATACCTTACTTCCCAATGTTGCCAATATAGAGGCTAGTCAGCTTAAACACTCCCACAGTCTGACCTCACACTATGCTTTTACTAAAATTTATGTTTATATATAAAATTCTTCTATTCAGCACTGTACTGTTCTAAAGGGAACTTAGGACAAGTGACTTATATAGAAAATGATTAGTTTATACAAAATTTATTTTTTTTGTAGGAAACTATTGAACACTCACAAAATTATTCCTGGAACCAACTAGTACATAGCTATGAGTCTAAAGTTTCTTACTCAAAGCTTGCCACTGATGTGGTTTGAACCCATGCATCTAGCGATCCTTAAGTTACTAGTCTGATAGCCATACTGCAAATAGAATAATGTTTGAACACAATTATAGCAAAATGAAAAGTTATTCTGACACTCACCATTTATTAATACTTGGATGGGCATAATGATAGCTGATCATAAGCAGGTTTTAGTTATGTTATACCTCCTTAGTTATAAAATGGACTTCTTAGTACAGTATTATATACATGCGTATGATTATATGCCTGATAAGACTCATGATGGAAGAGTGAAATACATGCTTTATTCTATTATTTTAATGTGTATATTTAATCATCCAGTAACTCAATAAGTAGAGTCTACGACTGTGAATCGGGCGACCTTGCTTCGATTCCTGGATGGTGTTGGGCTGTTGGTCACTTTCTTTGTAATTGGCCATAAAATCCATTCTACGGTCATTCACACTGTACCTCTGCTCTGGCATGTACAGAACTAATAACTTCTTTGTGAAAGTAAAAGCAGCTAGTACTGGTTAACTGCTTGCCTGCCTTCACAGGAACAATACAGTGTCTGAACTGTGGTCTGGTGAATTTATAGTCACTTATTCTAGTTCATGAAAGGGTAAACTAACAACACCACCACAACAATGTGTATATTTTATTTTGAAGACTGAGAGTATTACAGATAAGTCAAAATCATCACCAGTAAAGCCTAAAATAATTGTGATCAAAAAGACGGCAGATGGTAAAAGTACAGAAGTAGATCACCAGTATGTTACAACTGTAAAGAAAGAACCCATTCCAGCAGGTACATGCATACATTTACCATTGCTCACTACACTTAATTATGATATATGCACTCAAACTTAAAATTAGTTTATACAAATTTATTTTACTTTGATTGTGTTGGAAAGCTGTAAAGCTTATTGAAACACTCTTGAATCCGTTCCTGGAACCAACCAGTACTAAGCAATGAATGTAAAGTTTCTTGCTCAAGGAAACAACGGCTTGCCCATGATGGGGTTTGAACCCACGCGGTCAGCAATCCTTAGATTACTAGTCCGACGCCTTAACCACTCGGTCACACCGCCACTCAGCCAAACTTAAAATTGATGACAATAAACTGTAAAAACCTGACATAAGACCATGTTGTTACCAAAGAAAGAACACATTCCAACAGGTCATTTAATACATTCTTCCTAGCTTTAATGGTAATAATTATATAATAATAATAAAGACTTTATTTAAAGTAGTAACATAGTTAGGCAAGCCCAGCCTTCCTGATGAGCCTCTATCAAAATGTACATATTTACAGTTACAAACAAAAGGTTTATATAAACAAAGAAATGTTTACTCACAATATTATTGTGTGTAAACAGAATATTATATTCTGGAACAAAATATTATGTTGGTATTTTAGGTATCGTTTAACCATTTGGCAATGTTAAGTGCGTGAGCCATTTGCCTTTAAAGAAAAATATTAACATGTATACAGGTGTTTTGGAAGATTCAAACAATAATTATTGCAGCAGATATAATATATAAAGTATTGTTAATGTCATCAAAAACAGATATTTTTTGTTGAATTTGTTAAGCTAAAAGTAATTGGTTTTTTTTTTTTCAAGACTCATTATGGGCTTAAATTTAAGAAAAAAATATATGAAGGAATTCTTGAAAATTTAAAAAATTAAAACTCTCGGGTCTTTGGTTTCTTTTTGAAAAAGTTTTTTACTAAACCTCAGTGGTTCTACTCAGGTTGTTTTTTTGCCTAAAATAATGTAAGAGGGAACAAAAAAAAAGCTTAAAATTTCGTCTTGATATACTGTGTATTTCCCATGTTAAAAAAAATTTTAAATTTTATAGTTTTTTTTTCCCCAAAATTAAAAAATAAGTTATATATAATTTTAAAATCAAGTGTTATTAAAAAATATATTACCTGTTTTAAAAAGGGTAAATTTTCTATTAAATGTATGTTTGTAATTTGTAATTTGAAGACAAGGGAAAAGGGGGTTTATTTAGAGCATACTTTTCCCCTGTGTGATTTGCAAAAATTTTATTATAGTCAAACAACTGAGGGTATGCCTTACTTAATTAACTTAAAGATGCACATGAAATTCAATTTAATGAAAAGCAGGATTCTTGAGTTGGTATCTGTTGTCAACTTGTTACAAGACTGTATAATTATTATTTTGGTGAAATTACATAATTTGAAACTGACCTGTTAAATGCATTATTTAATATATGCATTACTATTGCATAAAAGCTATTAAAGATATTATGCTGTGTATTACATTGCAATACATTTTCACTCATGGTAATTGTTAAATATAATTTGTTATTGTACAGTATGATGTACATGTACACATAATGGACAAATTCATCACAATTTTTCATTATCAATAGAGCAATACCATGAAGAATATGGGAATAGGGGAAATGACATGTATAAGAACTTTTTCTCTGTACTCTGATTCCATTTGATTGACCAGTGACCACATAACTATTTTCCGTACATTTGGTTACAGTTCTACAAAATTCTTTGAAAATTGTTATGAGCTGTGTCATGACAAAACCAACATAGTGCGTTTGCGACCAGCATGGATCCAAACCAGCCTGCGCATCCGTGCAGTCTGATCAGGATCCATGCTGTTTGCCATTAGTTTCTCCACTTGTAATAGAGTATGTAAGCGAACAGCATGGATCCTGATCAGACTGCGCGGATGCGCAGGCTGGTTTGGATCCATGCTGATCGCAAACGCACTATGTTGGTTTTGTCGTGACACGGCTCATATATCTTCAACATTTGTTTTACAGCAACACAAACTGAAAGAACATGACGAAAGTGACTTTGAGTGTGAACATTGTCCCAGGGTTTTCTCATTAAAGAAAACACTTGAACGCCATCTAGTGGATGCCCATGCAGAGGGGGAGGATCATAAACATCTGTGTGATACATGCGTTATCAATTTTAAGAGTAAAGAGGCACTTTATCAGCATATAGAAAGTAGGTCTAGTCTTGGTGATATGATCTCTAAATGATCTTGTTTATGCCACCAATGTACAGCTGTATCGGGCTACACATTCTCTATATATTGACAGCTTGGTGTGAAAGGGTCTTAACTCCTTCTTTATTTCATATGTGTTACAACTCTTTTGCACCAAGCCCTTGATATGTAGACTGATGACTAAGAAATAGATATCCATATTAAATAATCTAAATATAGCTGCAACCTCATTGGTCCAAAAAGTAGTCAACAAAGCAGTTTGTAAAATCATATTCAATGGGTGTAGTGTCATATTCACTGGCTGAATTGGATTTCCCAATCTAAAATTAGATTAAGACTCTTTCAATTACCATACATATTGTAGCCTTTTAATTACTTGTAAGCAGAAAAAAAAGTTGTTGCATTTTATTCTTAATGGCATATTTCTCGGTTAAAATAACATAACTTTATTATAATAGTTAAAAGTTACTCCGTAATGATGAGTATCAATATGAATAACATGTACTTGTCTATAGGAATAAGTTTAACTATATTGAGGGTAAAAGTAATTTTCCTTAATAAGGTAAAACAAAAAAATATATTGAACAAAAGATAATTGTTGGGTTTTTTTTGTGTGGGGAAATAAAGAGTTAAGTACCTGTATGTTTAAAGCTTGAGTGCGGTAAATATTATTTCAGTGAACCACAATAGGGAGAATCCTATGAAATGCGATGTCTGTGAACAAACATTCATGCATGTTCAATGTAGGGGACTTTTGTATTGTTTGCAATACTATGATAATTTCTTGTTATTTTAGTGAACCACAATAGAGAAAATCCTATGAAATGCGATGTCTGTGAACAAACTTATGAGGATATTCAACATCTGATGGAGCATAGGAAGATTCACTTTGACTATGTATGCTTCTGTAACAAATGTTGGCAAGGTTTCTTTGATTACCTGGAGCTGGAAGCACATGTACAGGTACTAAAATCATAGTTTCCTTGTTTATTGTGATATGATATGTTTGTAATGTATGAGGTATCTGTTGTGTGCCTTGTATTTATATGGCAAACAATCTTTGATATTGTTACTGTTGTCACTGTTGAATGATTTAGTCAGGATCACTTTTAAGGCTACTAAAGTTAAATAGTACAGCTATTAACCATAAAACGTAATTAATAAAAAAGCATATAAACACCAGAAGATATCAGAACCTCAAGTACAGTTAATCTTATTTATTAAGATCTTCAATCTGGTAAATAAATGTATAAAACGTATAAAAATTAAATACTGTGAAACAAATTATCGTCCATGGTTTTGTTACTGTAATGAGTTTATCAATGTTAAGATGTTACAGAAGGGGTTATTCTAGTTAAATCATCTAGTGGAATATTTATTTAGGGGAATGTTCAGGTTTTGGTCATTTCCGAAAAATACTATAAAAAGATAGTTTTATATATATTTTTCAGTCAAACTGTAGATATAAAGAAGCGTTGTTCAAATGTGACATCTGTGGAAAGAAGTTTACTAAACTGGGAAGTATTGGCAAGCACATTGACACCCATCCTGTACATTCTCCACATGTTTGTAGAATGTGTGGTCGTGGCTTCGAATCGGAGAAAGAGCTGAAATACCATAGAAGTGGTGCACATATCATCCGACCATATAAATGTGAATTTTGCGATAAAACCTTCAAGAAAAAAGAAAGTTTGATTGAGCATCGTCGACTTCATATCCGCATTCCAAACATGCCTGTTCATCGGGAAATGGTTATGTCAGCAGGTGGTAGTAATGAGTTTGTTGATGTAGTAGAAGATGAAGATGAGAGTTTTGGGGAGAAGTTTGAGTGTGAGATGTGTGGTATAGTTCTTAACACACAGAGTTTACTAGATCAGCACAAACACCAACACGAGACTGCTACAGAGCAGTACAAGTGTGACCTCTGTAGTAAAATATTCTTCTCCCTCGATCTCCTGAACATTCACTGTAAGAGAGAGCATAAGGTCATCCTGAACCCTAAGGTAGGTACTTGCTTTTTTTTTGGGAGGGGGGGTCAAAAGTTAGTTTAAAAAGTATTGCACTTACATCAAAATGATTTTTGATACACCCAAAGAAACTTTGGGTAGTATTATGGTATGACGTTAATAGAGTTATGCCCATTGTTGATTTAATATACTGTAAAATTACTGGTTTCTGCATGATAACTTTTGAAGGATTTCAGTGATTGTGTTTATACTTGGAATGCGAATATGTTATGTCTAATACAAGTTAAGTTTCATTTTTGAAGCAATCATATAACTATTGATGAAGTTATTACTAAAAATTGAAAAATTGTTAGAGAAATTGCATATCAGACAGTATTGTCTTCTGTTTACACTAGTGCTAGAAAAACCTTGTCTTACACCCCCTATGTAAACAAGTTGCGTGTTATAAATGAGGTGAGTCCTACACACCTTTTATGAATGAAAAGCCTTCTGAGGATGATGTCCTTGTGTCGTTATGAATGAAGTTGTAAATTAATGTACTACTATAAGAAAAAAGTGCTGAATAGAAATAGAAGTTTCTTAATTTCTTTTCGTAATATCATTAATTTGTAATATGCAAGAAAAAGAATCAAACACCGGCTGTTGTCTTAGACAGGAATATCTAGCTCTGGGTAACTGTTAAGGGGAAACTTGGCAGAGCCTATTTACCGCCAGAAACAGTAACAGTACGCTCAAGCTAGATATTCCTGTCTGTACTGGCGGCCGGTGTAAGATTCTTATATAATTGTTTTATAATAAAACTTAGTTTATAGCAAGTTTATGTAGAGATTTCATTTCTTTTTAGAATGATGGACAAAATTTAGATGTAAATGATGCAGAGATGTGTGAGTGGGAAGGTTGTAACAAGACTTTCTATGACAGGACAAAGTTACGTCAGCATCTGAAGTACCATGAGCAACGTGCAGACAAAATTGCGCGTGGGATTAATGTGCTAGGCAAGAAATCCTCTACAAGATGTGAAGTATGTGGAAAAGTTCTGAAGTACAAAAGTTACTTGAAGGCCCATATGCTGAGTCACTACAAGGAGCATCCTTATCAATGTGAGATCTGCGGACAAGCTTATCCCAACCCTAAACGCTTAGAAGATCATGTCAGGTATTTGAAATTATATAGTTTTTAACTTCAACAGAAAATGTCTTTCTGTGCTCAACCCCTACCTTACTTTAGAGGTTTCATTGAAACATTTATAGAAAGTGATTGTTTTGACTTGTCTTTTTTAGGTTGACTATCATATCTTTATAATTAGGAGAGCTGTCCTACTCATTCGAAGAATCGGTGTCTGCGTCACAATTCTGGTGAAGTTTTACTAACCACCCCTCTTATTTCCTTTCCTCTTTGAGATATTGCTTTGAATACTTGCTTGTTGCAGTCATCCCCACTTATAAGAGGACATAAATTTCTCATGGATTTTGACAAAATTATACCCCTTTTCAACTTCAGATTTCAGTGTTTTGTTCAACCCTACTTGTTCCCTTTGAGATATTGCTTATTTAAGTTTTTTTTGTTGATAAAGTTATGCCTCTTTTTCAACTTTAATTTGGTTAAGTTTTTCATAGGTGACAGCCCGCTTATTTCCTATACTCGTTCAGGTATTGCTTTGAAACTTAAAAAGTTAAAATACATGCAAGTTACCCCTATTTTAGAGCAAGTTCTTTAAATAGTGGAGTACTTAGTCTTTAATACAACTCTTATATAATTTTGACGGAATAATGACCCTTTGATTTTCACATAATCAGTTTTAGCTGAAAAGTTGGTTTTGTCACTAGATGTCCCTCCTTACATAGCTCAATCCTTATAATGGACTGGCTTCCCCCATTACTTTTACATTTTTCCATTTTAGTCTGACCTAACTGTAGTATGTCATTATGGCTAGCAAATTGAAAGGGTTATAAAGTGCTTACCATATCAACAATCATGTTAATAGAGTTTGGAGATTTTGATATGAAAAAGTAAACATTTGTAAATTTTATATTTTTCTTCAAGTTGTCTATTTTTTGTTTTCATCTATTGAATGTTATTACATGTACAGGGTATTTTTTGTAAAAAGGCCTGGGTCTGTTCATTTTGTGAAAAAAAGCATGATATGTCATAAAATTGTGAAAAAATTACATCATATTTGCCATTTTGCAGCATTTTGAAACCTGAAACGGTGTGTGATCAGGGCTTTTTTTCCCTTCTATAGTAGGGGCCATTATAGGGCTGCTTCCTCAAAGAAAAATTATTTAAAATCATGCAGTTTTCTCCAAAAATTGAATTTGCATAAAGTTTTTTCTTCCCTTTTGCAAATATACTGTGTAATTTTCCCCAAAAATTAAGGGAAGGGCTTCTTTCCCAGCCTGTGGAAAAAAGCGCTAGCGATGAACGCTTGATTATAATTACTGACCTGTGTAAAATCTGCTTCGAGTCAGTACTTTAACCCGGTAAACATGCACAAGCCAAGTTTACTCAATTTAAAGTATTTATGTTTTTGTAATTGACAAAAGTCAAGTGTTATTGGAAAGTAAACAATGAATTTGAAAGACAAAGTCCCAATAGTTTGTGAAATTTCTTTTGAAATTGTGAATATTTTCCCATCGCTTTGTGAAAAAAAGTGCAATTGTGAATTGTGAAGGGGTCAAGCATTTTTATAGAAAAAAAAATGCCCTGCATGTATATGTGACATTATAGTTGTATGTTACTATGTCTGACTGATGTACTGTCCATTTCTGATAATGCCTTCATTCATATACAAATAGTCTTATAATTCTTGTTAATCTATTGTAATTTGTCAATCATATTTACAGAGTACATAAAGGTGAGAAGCCATTTAAATGTCGTGTATGTGAGAAGAGTTTTACATCAACTGCTCTACGTAACCAGCATATGGTGGTTCATTGGGGACATAAGACGTATATCTGTGACGTATGTGGTAAAGGATTTATGAGTCGTAAACATTTTAAAGATCATATGAGAATACATGACGGAGAGCAACCTCACAAATGTGAAACCTGCGGCAAAGATTTCATCTACTACAGGTATATATACTATCATACTATCTGATGTCGGCTCTTACCACCCTAATGTCTTAAACTGACTGGTCTATCTTTCAATCTGGACAAGACCTTTTAACATTTGTAGGGAAATTTACAAAATAAATACTGACTGAATAGCAAACAGTGCAAACCATGATCAGACATCATGCATGTCAGATTACCTTGGTCTGCATGCACTGGTCAAATGGGTAGAATAAAGTTACTGTCAATAGGTTATAGCTTAAGTAAGAAAATATTTTATATTGTGAGTTTGTATTTTATACAATTTGTACATAAAGTTTCTTTGTCAGTGTGTCAGAATGTGTAAAACGTAAAATACATGATAACTTAAAAACTCCAGGGTATTGCGAGTCGTCTTGAGAAATGCCTAAATAATTTTGTTTTTGTCATAGCTCACATCATATTTGGTTAATACAACAAGCATTAGATGTAAAGAATGAAGATTTCAAATGTTCAGTTTTTGGGCAAAATATATTTTCTGTTAGGTTTAAAGATATTATCTCTTAAACCATTTGTTGTTTATCCCTGACTTCACTAAAAGGTGTGAGGATATTTGCAGTTACTTGGGTCAAAAGCAGATTTGATAACTTGTAAGAAAACTGCTTGCTGATATACTTAACCTTCAGACAGCAAATCCCAAACAGTTTTAATTTATATCATCTTAATAAATTATATTGTAACAGAAAAAAATTTGATTTTTTCTGTAGGAGTTTAGTTCGACATATGCTTGTGCACATAGACCCTAGAGAAAGACCAAAACCATATAAATGTGAATATTGTAACAAGGAGTATACAGAAGTGACTGGCTTTAAACATCATATGAGAGCTGTTCATACAGGTATTGTGCCATACAAATTACCATTGCTTTTAGTTTGTTAATGCTGTAGGAAAGGCCTCTGTGGCTTAATAGGTACGGTCACTGACTGTTAACCTAAATAGTGTTACTAATGTTTTTAGTTACATCTCAGTATATGGTATTAATCCTTTAAAGGCTTTATATTGTACTAAATGTACAACGTTTTTCAGCTCTTTATGAATGAAGAGAAAGTAAAATAGATGTAATGTTTCCTTAAATGTCTATGAAGTAATGTAAATTTATTTTCATATAGAGTTCTTCCACTTTTAGCTTTTTTAGCACATTTTTTATTGGGTTTTACAGTTGATTGTAGGATCCAAAGTTATATTTGTTTATTTCTTGATATTTCTCAGGTGAAACACCATTCCAGTGTGACATATGTGGCGAGTCATTTCATCGTAATGATAAATTGAAACGTCACATTAAGTCTCGTCATCACGTTGCCAAAGGCAACAAGGAGTTAATAGTGACAACAAGACGAGCATCACACGGATTTCCAGTCATTGTGAAAGCTGAGAATGAACATCAGGAAGATTTACTAGAGATTGTGGAGGGAAATGAAGTAGAGGGAGGACAAAATGAGCTACATGTAGATGTAATCCAACAAGAAAATGATGGGCAACAACAAGTATACCTTATAGGTAAACAGTATGTTATGTTTCTTGTAGTTTAAAGGTAGTGTTAGGTAAATTAGGTCTTATGTTGCTGGGTAAATTAGTAGCTTTGTATCATGAAGTATATCAACATATGCAGTGACTAATCTAGAAATTCCTTATAATGCGTCGGATGACGCACATGTTTGAAAACAATGAGTCCTGTAGCAAAATCAATGAGTCATGTAGCAAAAAAAATGCGTCTTTTTAATAGCAGATCCTTGACATGATTTGCATGTTTTTATAACAAGCGATTAAGTAATTAAAGTGCATAAAAACGTTATTTTTGGTACTAATATTAATTGCAGGCAAAACAATTTTTATTGGCTGCTCAAAAATCTAATTTTCATAATTTATATTTTCTTACTACTTATGTCTAATACTGTGCATTATCCATTTTAATTGTTCGTAATTTGCACAAAATGTCCCTCTCACACTGTATACATACTGACGACTTTTATTGCTCCTTGTATGCCCCTGTGTAGAAAGCATACACAGACAGACCTTTTGATCATGAAAAAGTCATGCACAATGTTACCCTGATTGGTTAATCACCCTGTCAAATATTCTGATGACGTAATAGACATCTTTTTTTTTTACACTCCGCGTGAACTTGAGTGACCTTAGGGGAAATCATTACACACCTGTCAGATTATACTGTAACTTACAGCATTTCTTAAAATAGCAACACTTTTTTTCAGTTACCGATAATTATTTAAAATATTAAGTAGATAAATGATTTTTTGTTTGCTTAATTGGATTAAATTTACGGTAGTAGAAATGCAGTAGTAGGTGGGAAAGGGATTAGGTAAGTAGATAACTTGGAAAAATGCTAGATAGGGAAATGGATAAACTCAAGAATACTGTATGCGTAATTACAGAGGAATGGGTAACCTGTTGCTGTTGGTACCAGTTTTGTCTGGATGACTAAATAACATACAATATAAGTCTGATGCGCCTTTGGCCATTTGCTGACGATTTTCCTGTGCCCTTCTCACTTTTTAGCGCCAATGTCTGCATATTTCACCATTGTAGGCCAATCGCTCTTATGCAAAATTGACGCTCTGATTGGCTAATGCCGATAATGGGCGGTTACCGATCACAAGCAACAATTGCTTGGGATTTAACGTTTCAAGCAAATGGGGGATTAGTCTTGCACCTGATATCATCGGAAATTAAATTATTCAACTGAAGAAATTGAAAAATTATTCAACTAATGAAATTAAAGTAATCAATCTGTACATAGAAATCACTAATCGTGATATTTTGGATTATAAACTTCCTGATTAGCATGCGTCAGATTGAACGCACATATTTTGAAACTGTGCGTCTTTTTCGATTTTTATGCGTATTTTACGCAAGATGCACATCTAGATTAATCACTGCATATGTATGAGGCACTCAGCGTCACAGTGGTCATATTTGTTCCTAGTCATATTTCCTCAATGTATGTAGAAGTCATTCTTTAGATATGTCTTAGGTTGTTGAACATCTTTTGTAACAAATAATAATAAAATCCTTCAATGGATGTAAAAGATAAGCTCCTGACAAAATGTTCACTACAATAAGACTTAAATATTAAAATATAATACATATCCTTTACATATGTAAAGGACCACCTCTGTGGTCAAGGGGTTAGAGTGGATGACTTCTAATCCAGTTACCTCTCTGGCGTGGGTTCCATCCCTGGGAGATGGGTTGAAAGTTTAGCACAGAGGAAGGTAGTCTAGTACAGTCAGGGTTGTCATTAACATTTTTTACAGAAGGTTTGTTTTGAACTTGAGGCGGTCATTTCTGTCTTTATCATGCATAACAAAGAGTGTTTTCTTAATTTTGAGGCGGCCCATAATGCATTTGAGACAGGCATTTTGGCCTCCTGCCGCCTCTTAATGACAACCCTGAGTACTGTTGTAACTCTCCAGGAACGATGGTTTGGAAACCACCTGCCTATATGATTGAAATACTGTTGGAAAAGGCGTAAAATGAAACAAACAAACAAAAATATATGTAAGGTCAAGGCTACTGATAACTGGGGACAACTATTTGAAATGTTATTTACGTTACATTAAAAATGAACACATTATAGCAACTAAATCTTTATGTGTTTTGCAGGCTTAGGACAAGGAGGAGAGGCAGCCTATTTACAGGAAACACAAGTGATTGAAGGTCCTGATGGCACAAGATATATAATAGCAGGATCAGGCGAGGAACTACAAGTTATTGAGTCTTCTAACTTACAAGTTACTGAGGTAAAGGTTTTTTTTTCATACACAATATTTTAAGATAATACTACATTTGTCAGTTACTATAAACAATTAAGATCTAATGAGCAAAGATTAGTTTTAACCCTAAAACCAAGACTTGGTTTATGCAGAAAATCTCTATCATATTCAGGCTCAAGAGTTTGGAACTCCCTCCCAATAAATGTAAGAAATTCCACCAACTTACAGACATTCAAAAATAATAATCTGAAATGGTGCTTCTCATCTCAGTTGAGTTAAGAGGTCACACTTGTACAATAAAGTAAATTTTATATTCTAAATGTTCACATTCATATTTTCTTATAACAGTCTTTTCAGTAACTTGTTTTTTATGCTGTATAGCAATTTGTAAATCTTTTGTTGTTTAAGAAAAACACTGTTTGTTACTGAACATATTTGATATAGGCTCATAGGGAAGACTGGGCTTGACTAAATGTAATGTGTCTTTAAATAAAGTCATTATTTTTTCTACTACTACCACTATTATTATCATTATTATTATCATAATTGTTATTATTATTATTATAATTATTATTATTATTATTATTATTATATCTACTAAAGTTCTAGTATGTTATATTAAATGATCATAGAAAAGGTCACACTTGGTGGTTAAAGGTCAATATTTTGTCTGTTGAAGGGTATATTTTGCGTTCGGTCCATAATTTTTTTCATTGTCCAAGGGATTTTAAAATACTAGGTGTTCACAATAAAAAGATGGCATGTTATAGATAATGCACAACACATCGATCCCAACCTCCAAGGTCAAGGTCACACTTTGGGGTCAAACCTAAACACAGTCTGTTATAGAGTATATTTTGTTTCCAGTTCAATAACTTGTTCATCAGTAAAGGGATTTTGTAAAAACTTAACACAAATAAATGTTCACAAGAATAAGATGATGTGTCATGCCCAAATCCGGTCAAGGTCACACTTGGAAGTCAAAGTCTAACAGGGTATGATGCCAAGTAAGGCTCAAGCAAAGAAAATACAAAATGTCGTTGGTGAATTGATACCATGATCGATAAAAAAGTTACAGACAAGAAATGTACTCTAAAACTGAACAAACAACATTTATTTAAAATTAGATTTTTCTTTGTAACATGCTCAAAAGGGTGAGATTGACGTAACAAACAACATTTTATTATATTTGTAGCATGTTCAGGAGGGTGAGATTGTAGAGGGAGGAGTTATACAGCAGATACAACAAGTGGAACATATAAAGGATTCTAGTAGTGGAAATATTTTGGTCATGAATGATGGTGAAGAACAGACATTAAGTACATTAGCAAACATGGCGAGTGAAGCTTCAGTGGTTAAATTAGACTAGAATTCTATCATCATGGTTATTTTTTGACAAGTTTTAAATGGTTATTTGTTTAAAGAACATGTTAATTTTTAGCTCGACTATACGAAGTATATGAAGAGCTGTCCTACTTGCTCCGGCGTTGGCGTCCAGATTTCAGATTAAAGTTTTGGTGCAGTAAAATATTTTTCACTATAACTTTGTCATTTCTTAAGGTATCAACTTCAAACTTCAAATATATGTTCCTTATAATTCAAGATTTATCACCCCTTGAACTTAGAATTTTCCTTAAAAATAATATTTTTTACTGTTACTTCTTTATTTCTTAAGGGATCACCCTCATACTTCAAATATATGTACCTTATCATCATCCCCATCTTATGTGACAAGGTTCGTAACTCTAGCACAAATAATTTCAGATTTATCTCCCCTTGAACTTAGAATTATCCTTTAAAAAATATTATTTTTTACTGTAACTTATTTATTTCTAAAGGGATCAACTTCATACTTCAAATATATGTACAGTCAACTATCGTTATCTCGACATCGCTTTTCTCGATATTTCGTTATCTCGATCATATTTTGAAAGTCCCGATTTTCTTCTTGCTTTATCTATATTGGAAATATTTGTTTATCTCGATATTTTTATTTCGATATTTTCAGTATCTCGATGTAAAATTTCAGCCCCAACAATTATTTTCACACTATTTTCTTTTGTTTATCTCGACTAATAGTTTTCTTTCTTCTGTTCCCTTCAGACGTGTGAAAAACACAAACAAGACGATAATTGCTCAATAGCGCGTGTCATAATGATGATTATGTTTGTAATAAGTTAAGCTGTTTTTATAAAAGTTATTTAGCGTGTTGATTGACTTATGTCCAAAATGAGTGAATGTTACATTCTTTATAAATATACGAACTCTGTATCAATCAATTAGGACTTTAAAATGTAAATAAAATAGTGAAAGAATAGAAACGCTATCGTTGCAATATAGTTTTACAACATCACCACTAAATCAATCAGCGGTCGAACAATCTCGAGAAAGACCCGATAAATACCGAGGAGAATATCCGGATCAACCACCCTGAAAACAATGTTTACACTACATTGGTGTATTACTGAGTAAACCTCACTATGTGTTTTTATCACAGACACCCGTATTTCCGCTGGTAAACATCAGCTAATGTTACTGTGTTAAATATTGACTAGGCATATGAAAGCAAGACATGGGGATATCATAGTTTATTTGACATAAGGTATGCACATGTCTTTTTTAAAAATTAGTTTCTGCCTTACTCAAGCCTAATATGTTTATCTCGACATTTCGTTATCTCGATATTTTTTGGACGGTCCCGATGACTTCGAGATAACGAGAGTCGACTGTACCTTATCATCATCCATATCTTATGTGACAAGGTTCATAACTCTAGCACCAATATTGCAAGAATTATCTCCCCATAAACTTAGATTTTTTTACTAGAAAAATGTTATTTTTTACTATAACTTTTTTAGTTTTAAAGGTATCTACTTCAAACTTCAAATACTTATTCCTTATCATCAATTACATTTTATGTGACCATGTTCATAACTCTTGAAGCAATTTTCACAGATTTATCTCTCTTTGAACTTAGGATTTTCTTGAAGAAATATTATAACTTCTTTACTTTTTAAAGTATCTACTTCAAACTTTAAATATATATTTCTTATCATAACACACATGTTGTGTGACAAGGTTCATAACTCAAGCGTGACTATTTCTAGAATTATTTCCCTGGATCTTGGAATTTATGTTAACAAATGTTATTTTTTTTACTATAACTTAATACAATTTAATACATAATTGATTTTTCTTTCATAGTTTTGTCCTCCTTACTGTGTCCAGTATTTTATCAGTCGAGCTTGGCTGTCTCCTGTGACAGCTCTTGTTATTAAATGTTAAATCTTATATTATTTACATTAAAAGAAGAGAACAAACATAATGATATTACCTACATATCCGTAGTTACGTACATAGAGGTAATTCATGTTTTTGTGTCGCCTTGAAAAAGTCAACATGTAAGGTTACTTTTGTTGGCGGGGATGTCTCGGCATCCTCATAGTCTTGCTTCTTGCATGCTTCTTTCAATGACCTGAAGGAATCGATATTTTGTACTCCTTATTTTTAGCTCACCTGTCACAAAGTGACAGGGTGAGCTTTTGTGATCGCTTTTTGTCCGGCGTCCGTCCGGTGTATATCCGTCCGGCGTCCGTAAACTTTTACTTTAAATGACATCTACTCATAAACACTAAGCCAATTTCATCCAGACTTCACAAGAATGTTCCTTTGGTGGTCACCTTTGAAAATTTTTGTTCACAGAAATTAATTCCATGCAGAACTCTTGTTGCCATGGCAACCAAATGAAAAAAAACTTTAAATATCTTCTTCTAAAAAAGCCAAAGAGCTAGAGCTTAGATATTTGGCATGAAACATCTTCTAGTGAGTGTCTACCAAGTTTGTTCAAATAAAAGCCCTGGGGTAAAAATTGGCCCCGCCCCAGGGGGTCATTGATTTTCCCTATATGCATATAATAAAATCTTATAAAATCTTCTTTTAAAGAACCCAAAGAGTTAGAGCTGCGATATTTAGCATGAAACATTTTCTAATGGGTGTCTACCAAGTTTGTTCAAATAAAAGCCCTGGGGTCAAAATTGGCCCGGCCCCAGGAGGTCATTGATTTTCCCTATATGCATATAGTAAAAAGTAAAAAAATCTTCTTTGAAAAAACCCAAATAGCTAGAGTTTAGATATTAAGCATGAAACATCTTTTAGTGAGTGTCTACAAAGTTTGTTCAAATAAAAGCCCTGGGATTTAAACTGGCCTCGCTACGGGGGCCTATATACAGGTGAGCGACTTCAGGGCCATCATGGCCCTCTTGTTTTAGTTATTTCCCTTTGTTAATTTTCATACTTTATAACTTTCCGGGACGTTTCAAATTCTCCTATAGTAAAAAAAAGCTTTGGACATGAAACTTCATAGGATAATAGATTTCATTTAGAAGAAGTGCAGTGTTTTAAAGCCAGTAGTCTGAACTTCAGGATTATTTAGTTATTGCCATTTGTTAATTTTCATACTTTATTTTTGTCCAGGCCAATTCTCCTACACTTTAAAAGCTATTGACTTGAAACTTCATAGGATGATAGAATTTATTGAGAAGAAAGCATCGCACAATAACTTATTCTCTGCACTTAATGATGTTTGAGTTATTGCCCATTGTTCATTTTCTTACTTAATAGGCTTGTTTATAGCATAACTTAGTCACTATAAGTTTGACTCAAAATTTGGTATGTAAGTTTTTTCATTGCTCGAAAATCCATCAGAGAGTTTTTCATTTAATTTGTCAGTGTAAAACTTTTCCATGGTTTTTATACTCCCCCAAAAATTTCGGGGGAGCATATAGTCGTCAGGTTGTCCATCAGTCCTTCCGTACGTATGTACGTCCCGAATTTGTGTCCGGCCCATAACTTTGTTATTTGAAGTCAGATTTTGCAACTATTTAACAGAAATGATCAAATTATTGAGACAACATGTCACACGCAACATTTGGGTGGCTACCTTGAAGGTCAAGGTCACAGCATGACCTTGCAGCAAAATTGTGTCCGGCCTATCACTTTGTTATTTGAAGTCAGATTTAACAACTATTTAACAGAAATGATCACCACATTAAGAAGACGTGTAGCGCATACCTTGAAGGTCAAGGTCACAGCATAACCTTGCGGCAAAATTGTGTCCGGTCCATAACTTTGTTACTTGAAGTTGGATTCGCGCGCAATATTTGGGTCGCTACCTTGAAGGTTGTGGTCACAGCATAACCTTGCAGCAAAATTGTGTCCGGCCCATCACTTTGTTATTTGAAGTCGGATTTTACAACTATTTTACAGAAATGATCACCACATTGAGAAGACGTGTAGCGCAACATTTGGGTTGCTACCTTGAAGGTCAAGGTCACAGCATGACCTTGCAGCAAAATTGTGTCCGGTCAATAACTTTGTTACTTGAAGTTGGATTTTACAACTATTTAACAGAAATGATCACCATATTGAGACGACGAATCACACGCAAATTTGGGTCGCTACCTTGAAAGTCAAGGTCATAGCATGACCTTGCAGCAAAATTGTGTCCTGTCCATAACTTTGTTATTTGAAGTCGGATTTTTCAACTATTTTACAGAAATGATCACCACATTGAGAAGACATGACGCCTGCAACATTTGGGTGGCTACCTTGAAGGTCGAGGTCACAGCATGACCTTGCTTTAAAATTGTGTCCGGCCCATAACTTGGTTAATTGAAGTTGGATTTTAAAACTATTTCACAGAAATGATCACCATATTGAGACGACATGTGGTGCGCAACATTTGGGTTGTTTTTTAACTTCAAACTTTGTCTGTGACATAACTCTGACACTATAAAAAGTATAGCTTCCTGTGTCCAAAACCTATTCGGGGAGCATCTACCGGTTCAACCAGGTCTTGTTTTATTTTTGATAATATAACAGTTTTATTAATCTTGATGTAACATCATTACAATCAGCTAAAATGCCACTAAAATTACATGTACATCACAAGAGTAGTGTTTGTAAATAACCTATATTTAAGAAGAAAATGCCTAACTGACAGCTATACTGTTGACAAGGCAACAAATCCAACTCGCAGAGTTCTAGTTTCTATGAAAATATGATTTATTTTCATCGAGAGATATGAAAATAAAATTAATATTTTTATAAGTGAATGTATATTTTATGAAAATAAATCCTGTCTTGTAGAAAATTTTCAGGAAATTTTCTGTTTATTTAATTATCACCTTACAATTCAAAAGGTTTCTCCTTTAATGTTGTGTACTGCCTGAATTTAGAAGAAAGTAGTCTGGAATTAAACGCATTTTATTTCATCAATATTTCATTTAAAAGTATTATAATAAAACCTGTTATCCTTACTTAATCATTTGTGAAAAAATAAGCCTATTGTTATGTAAATTGACAATGTAAATGTTAAAATCATACTATGTTTGTTGATTATCATTTATAACAGTATAAAATATGGTGTATTAATTTCAAATGTATATTTGATTTTGTGATTACATAAATTTATACTGATTAAGTTCTTTGGGTACATGCATATATATTTTGTGCTAAGATCAAATAAAATCAAATATATGTTAGACTGAGAGTCATCTCATAGCATTGTGAGTGTTTATTTTAACTGACAAATTGATTTGTTTATCCTTACTATTGAATGAAAATAAAACATGATAAAATTACGTTTTAATTTCTTATATTTTATCACCAATTATTGTAAAAAAAGACCCACTTCTAAAAGGTGGGTACATGTACATTTCGTTAGTAGACATGTGTTTTTTTGTTCAATAACCAAGGCGCAGTTATATGACCAAGTATTAAAAATTTTATAGAATTATTGCCTTTATCAATTTATACAGAAGTATTCTTGTTTGATTGTTAATGAGTCTATAAACTTATAGACAAACTCTCTTACCTGTTTTCGGATTCACCAGTACTAAAGGTAAGCAATGTTTACGCCCAAGGGGGAAATGACACCTATTTTCATAGGTGCTGGTGCTTATAGAAGAAGGTTATTTTCATATATATTTATTTCAGCCTCATGTATATACAAATAATTATGTATAAATCAGCATTTCGTAATACAATATACAGAATATATTTCTGATTAATAAGAGGCTTGTCGGCTATAAAAACAATTCACCTAAAAAGCTACAATGAAAATATGTCTGCTATATAATTAGAAAAGTTATAATGCATATCTATTGTTTTAAAAAGGTGACATGTTACAAGTACCTTGGCATATTTTTCTATTTATCACTAACAATTCCTCAGTCGTTAAAACAATTGAATATCGCTTATACATTTTCTCTATTATATTTATGTTAAATTGTGTACAAAACTTGTGTCTTTATATATTGATGTATTAAGCAAGTTATACAATATAGAAATCATTACATTTTTTGCCGGACTGATATTTCTTAGATATATGATTCATTATAAACTGATATACACTGTTGTTTCATCATACTCCATTAGCTAATATGATAAAAAACATAAATTTCCTGCAGAAATGAGTATTGCTAAATTCTTTCTATTTTCTTTGTTTAATGAGAGATATTCAAAACAACTAATTTGTCTGATGAAAGGGAAGCAACTAATACACAGTTTTTCTTTTTGTCATAGCACATAGCCAATGGATTCTTAAGACCACCTTTATTATCAACTAATTCGCCCAGACATTTACCATCTCTATCAAACATCATGATGTTGTGTGAATTATAACCAGAAATAAACACGGTCCCGTCATTGGCTACACATACACCACGTGTGGTGGCAAGCCTTTTATCTCTCAGTTCTCTCTTCACCGTACCATCTCTGTTCAGACAGACGGCACCGTCACTATAATCTGTTACAATAACAGTATCTACACTGACAGCCATTTGTTGTGGAGTTGATTTAAATATGCGTTGGCCATTAACCTCATTACTGATAGTCTTTACCAATGTTCCAGTCATACTGTATACATTTACAACATTTACATCAGATACCCACAACTCTCCATCACAATATGTCATTCCGTTGTAATTTCCACCTGTAACAGATATATCTCTCACCTTAGATAACGAGCTTCCTACTGATATAAACCAAACTTTGTTGTTTTCCAGTTTCACAGCGACCTCAGTATTACCGGTACAACAGATACCTTTAGGACCTGTTTCTAGATCCAAACAATCTTTAATGTTATAATTCACATCAAGTCTCTTTATCCTGTCATTAGAAAAGTCAGCCAGTATGATTGTACCGTCTACAAGCTGACATATATCATAAATGTAGCATTGATCACTGTCATTAGTCATCTTGATATTAATCTCCTTCCGTGAACTTACTTTATATACTTTTGATGTCAATAGACTGTTCTTCTCTGTTACTTTCTGTACACGCCCTAGACATGTTGACGTTCTAATTGAGGACTTTAATTCTGAATTCTCTGTAAAACGTAAACACACACGACCTTTATCCTCGCTTTGTTCAAACACTTTCATTGCATCGTTTACAGTCTGTTGTATCAGTTTTGTCTGAACAAATTGTTCTCTCGCATTAAGATTATGGGCTGTCTGTAGCTGGCTTCTTGTTTTCTCAATTTCTTGTTTAACTTTACTTATCTGAGAGATATTTGCCTCCAGATCCTCTTTAACCAAAGAATATTCTGTCTCCAGAGCTTCCAATGCTTCATGCTTCAATTTCTGAATATGTTCTACCAAGTCCCGTTCAATTGCCTCTACCTGTGAAATTACGTCACTTCTTTGCTTCTCAATGCTATTGTTGTTCGTCTGCATCTTCTGTTCAGTGTCTTCTAAACGCTTTTGAATGTTAACCATATCTGAACTTAAACGCTGAATGTCATTTTGCTGATTTGAAGAAATATCAACGTCTTCTAAATTAAGTATTCCACTGCAAGCTCTGAAGGAAAAATAAATTATTTCCGATTAAACAAGCTAAATAAAACATCACCGCTTCACTTTCTTACAAGTCTGAAATATCAGAAAATATGAGATGTATTAGCATAATTATTATAATGGTCAAAGGAATATTAGCAAACTTTTCTTTCAAAGACAACATCAATGCAAACTAAACTATGTTCCTTTTAACATTTTAAATCGAAAAATCCTTCTTTTATTGTCCCACAACACGTCCTTTTTCATTGTACAAAGCAATTATCAAAATGAAAATGTTAGCTATGACTTAAAGTAAATCATATTTCTTTTAATCTCAGTCATCTTTTCTATATTTCGTGTTTGATTATTGAATAAAATTATATGTAACATATCGCAACAACATTTCTAAGTAGTCACTAATTAAAATGCATAGTTTCGAAAAGGCTTTGCTCTATCAACCTGTATTTTCTACATTTTGATCTGGCATTGATCTTTATCATACCTACATGAAAGAAACCATTTATTCCTATTAAAATTAGTCATGCGTGATCAAAGTAAAAAAAACTACACTCATGTGCAGCACCAGCAAATGATGTGTGTATGAAATATAAGAATATATTCAATCGTGTATTGGATAGAAAAATAAAAAAAACATGAAATGTGTCAAACTGTCAAGTCGCTGTATTATTGGCCAACAGAATCTCATTGCGCCTTGTAATTGACAACTTTCATCTCAATTTTAATGAAAAGGAAAATTTAACTAGAACAAAAAACTTTCTTCAAACTTTGTTGGATTTAACAGAATGATGACCAAAACAAACCAAGAAATTAACCCTTTCACTGCCATATTCTTTTTGGCGTATTTGCCATATGGACGGCTTTTGCTGTTTCTATAATAATAATTAATAATAATAATAATAATAATAATAAATATATAGATAATTATATCATCGACAATAATTATTATTATACTAGCAGATTTGGAAACATATATAATTATTGTAATACTAATAACAAATAATAATAATTATATTAATTAAAAATATAGTAATTTCTTTGAAACCCTTCTGGCAAATAGGTGATCAATAAATAAATAGCCCTCTGGCAGCGAAAGGGTTAAATTAAATGTCATTATCCCATATTTTGAGCCGTCTGCATCGGTAGCTAACGTTTATTGCTCTTTTTAACTCATTTTTAAGAGCAGTACCTTATTATGTAAATGTTTAGATTATAAATAAATATTTTTTCAACTTAACACTGATTTGAATAACCTTTTCCAGAAAATGACATAAAAGAGCTAAAAACTCACTTACAGGGGCAACTCAGAAAATAGTTTTATAAGGTTGTTTCATTTACGATTTCCTTGAATTAATTAAAGTTAAAGGCACATTATGTCCCAGAAAAACTTATTTTTTATAATTCTTGAGAAATGTCAAACATATGTTTAACAATGTTTAATTAATGAAATAAGAGCATGTTAGATGTTTTACAACTGAAAAAGTCAAGCAGAAATCAAGCAGTGAATTTTATTTGAGCAATGTAGTGATTATTTGTGAATTAAATTTTTAATTAACCGGTTCTTTTTGCCCAGATCTTTAGGGCAAGGTTAAATACGACAAGAGGTAATATGTTACGCTAACATAACAAATCATTATTTAATTCGACTAAACTCAACATAAATGGCTAAGTGTATATACATTTGACATTTGCAAATACCGTATAACGAAGCAAGAGAAAACACTTTAAAGACACTAAGTCATTAACAATTCGATCACTGTAATCAAAGTCACATTTAGGGCAAATGAACATATGACCCCTTAAGCCAGCATACCATTCTTCAAAACTGAGAAATACATTTTAACAAACAGGGAAGAGAAAGCATAAATACGCTAAATACTTAATATAAACAAACCTGTGATTTGTGGCAATACATTTCGTGCAATACACCATATCATGTTCTCCACAGTACATTTCAATGTCACGATCTGGATGGTAACGACACTTGGTAACCATGGTTACCGTTGACCCTTTTGTTGAAGCATCACAATCTTGTAACGTATGTGACCGTAAAGCTTTACGCCGACCATGTTGTCGTGTACATGATATACACAGATATTCGTCACATACAGGGCAAAACTTTACAGCCTCTTCTCGGATATCATCATCCCCACATGGAGTACAAGTGTACTCAAAATCAGCATCCGAGCCATCTTTTATTGAAGCCAAATTACTGCCCTCAGCCATGTTTATTAATCTGACAAAATATCAAAATACAATTTGTACCAATTTGTATTGGTAAACATATCTTTACTGTACTGTAGCATGTAACTTTTTACTCGCAAATAATATATCCAATTTCAGTAACAGCGCTTGCTTCAATAGAGTATACATTGTCAAACAAATGACATATCCTTTAATTTTACAAATGTATAAACATTCATGCAAACCACAATTCTTTGAAGTTTTCATTTTTTTAAACAATTTTCCAGTTTTGTTTCTCAATCATTATACGTGATGTATTATGAAAGGACATATTATACTCAACATCACTAATTCCGCGTCATCGCTTATTTCACGGAAATGGCATATTTTCATGCGACCAGTGTTGAAATTGGTCAGAATTGACATATTTTATTCATACACCTATGCAACAAAGGTTTTTGTGCAAAATATTTTAAATCTCTAGATTTTAACATAAAACAGAACAACATTTTACAAATTTCTGCAAAAAGCAATAATAGTCTATTAAATTTTTATGTATGTCTGAAACAATCATCATTTTTTGTTGAAGAACTAAATATAAATTAGAGTTACAAAGTAAAGATAATTTCAATATTAAATCAAGCAAAACCATGTATTTATCCATTCTTTGAATGATATTACAGCAAATTAAATTTTTATAACCAAAAAATATCTAAAAATGCAAAGTTTGAGCCGAAAATAGGTACCTACGAAAACAGCTCAAATGGCAGTGTAAAGCGAAAATAAGATCGCGTCTACGAATATAAGATTTATTTTTGATATAATGTATCAAAAACGTATTTTTGTTGTTATTTAATGATTTGCATGGATGAAATAATAAAGAATGAAATGTTTTAATATGAACTATTGAAAGTATGTTCGGTTAATATATAAATAGTATCTAAATCATATTTTCGTAGACGCGATCTTATTTTCGCGAGAATAGCTTATTTTTGGTATCCATCTATACCCATGACATTCTGTTTTCAAAATGGGCTACATTTTGTTCATTAAAATTGACTTGGACTGAATATATTGTTGTTTGCAGAAAATACCTATATGTTATAGCTTATGACAATTTTAAGTTTCATTTGTTGTTTTCTTTCTGGTTTCAAAGCGTTACGTACCGTGAACTAAGACGAGCACAGTACATCTAATGTATCTAATGAACGGGCAGCACGAAATACCCAAATATACCCAAATATTGCCCAAATATACCCAAATATTGCCTAAATATACCCAAATATTGCCCAATTATACTAAAAATAAATGTTTTATCCCAAAAAAGTGCTGTTTTTATCATGAATACGATATACACTTTCAATAAGATAAAATCAACCATACCCAAATATACATTTCCCTATCATTGTGTTTTGAACCAAAATACAGTCTATATGTACACCATTAAAGCATTTTTTTAAAAAATAACATGGACACTTGTATATGATATGAAATTCCAACAAAATTACACCTTAAAAATGTAAGTGTAGACAACAAATATCATATCTTGATTTAAAATTGCAAGTACATTCATAAAGAACCTATATGGTACTGTAGATAAGCAAATGTCACAACTTTATTCTTTACATTACCATCGTAACTGTCCATTTTCAACGGAATGAATGAAAATTATAGCAGGCTAAGTCATATTATATTTAATAAATATTTATTTATTTCTCATAATAATCTATATTTTATACAAACAAAAAGAAATATTGCTATATTTGGGTATATTTGGGTATCTTTGGGTATTTCGTGCCGCCGCTAATGGGCAGCTAATGAACAACAATCCAAATAGTAAATAATATGTTCATGTATATATAATTATGTTTACGCACATAATGACACATGTAACACTATATTAATTCTATATTAATTCTTTAATAAAATCTTGATATAAATGGTATAGGACAACGTTTTGCACCAATTTACATTACAAAACATGTTTATTGACGATATACAGTACTCGACTAACTGTAGTGAATTTTATTAAGGTCAGATAAATCAAGTATATCGATACTTCATTTTTTATTTAACTCGTAGCTATCGCTGATTGTGTGTGTTCACATATTCTCTATCATTAAATATTGTCCGAAATAAAACTATTACACCAACGTTTTGTACAGAGTTTTAAAATCAAACTTAAACAAATCTTTACCTTTATCTATGTTGCTCTAGTTTCGTTTTCAATTTTCTGTCCTCGTAATAACAGGTACGGGGAGAGTAGTAGCAAGGCAGCGCACCGCTAAATATATTTATTTCGAACCACTTTTAAAACATCTTAGAAATGACTAAGTAGAATATATAGTTTATTGTTTGTAAATGAGAACTAACAAAATTGAAGTTTTATTGTTTTACTTAGTGGTTGTAATTGTGTTTTGAATATTTACACATCGCAAGTATGATACACTGAATAAAAATAGTAGAGTTTTGTAAATTATTATGCTCAAGAAAAGTTAAGGTCGTATCGTGGACACTAAAAATCACGCTTTTATTTTCCATAACGTTGCATATGTTATTGCATATTTTTCATGAAACGAGTTTCACCATTAATTTCACCATTTTCGTGTTTTAATGTTGAATTCAGCTTAAGTCGGTGCTAGCGGGCGTTGACGGTAACTTGCACTTTCCAGTGCTGTGCATGAAAAGAGCCATATAAGTATATTGTCATTTAATGAATTCAGCGGTCATGCCCACCGACAACTGAAAATTTCGTGAACAAATACATCTGATAAAGATATAACTTTAACAGAAGTTAAATATATATGTAACAAGTACAAATGTTGCTGCAATGCAGCAATTGAGAAGCTCCGCGCAAAAAGATGTGCTCATTACAGATACCTTACCAAATTATTCCTACGCACAAGTCATGTTATATTCAGATTAAGTACTATTGTAGATTTTTTCCGAATGTTTTGTAAACCAGTTTTTGCATAATTATACTTATCTTATGCACTGTCTATAATTAAAAAAGAGGGGAAAATATTTAATATAAAAATGCTTTCACTGATGCCTACCTGGTAAGGAAAGTAATTCCATTGAATACAAACAAGACTTACAAGACTTGTAAATGTTATGTGACATGACTGTACTGTGTTCTGTTACAGTAACAGAAGATAGATGATAGAAATATCAAAGTCTGTTATAATTGTAACAAATATACAAATAGTAACAAAAGGGACTAATATTATAATATAGTAATATTACATGCATATTTTTCATGTCAAATTAAAAAAAATGGTTTCTTTCAATACTGAAAGTAGAACACACTCTGGAATGAAAAAATGGGATGAATTTCCAAAAGACCAAATTCAGGATTTTTTTTATTTGTTATACACGCGTTACATGGTGATACAGTATTTATCAATACATAATAGAAGACTGTTACCTGAATTTTAGGTAGGTATGAGGAAATTCACTAATATCATATTCGTGCGAGACAAAGATATGAAAGCTATTTGACATTGGTAATATATAAAAAAAGTCTGTCCAAAGTGAAAGTAGGCCAAAATTCATATAACAACAAAGCTCCTATTGTAAAATGATAAACCATTTGAAAATACACTTCCAGGTTTATATTTTAAGGACAATAATAAACAAAAATAAAAATGATAACAATAAGAATATTTACCTTGAATGTGCTACATTTCTGAAGACCAAAAACATTCTGTTGCAAAGTTTTATGCACATTTCATGAATGGCAAAATCCTTTTAAAAGTCTGTTTTAGTGCCAACAAAAGCTATTTTTTGCAGCAAATACAAAAATCTTTCAAAACTTAACTCCAAATAAATCAGTATCTCATGTCCTTCTAAGCACATGGCCTCCATTATTTTTTGTAAAATAGTAGTGCAAGAAAACAATTATCATTTATAGCCTTATGAACTACAATTAAAATGAAAACACAATCAAACTTTAAAATCTAACCTTTTTATGTGTAATAGTGAAGTGTGTCTGTTTGTCATGTTCATAGGTAAATGATGTTTATTTTCATGGTACTACTTTTTTACACATGTCATGGAGGCCATGTTTTTTCAAGGTCAGATAAACTACTTTCCTAAGATTTATGTTTTTTAAAGATTTTTGTATTTTCTGCAAAAAATAGCATTTGTTTGCACTAAAATAGACTTTAAACTGGATTTTGCCATTCATGAAATGTGCATTAAGATTTGCAACAGAATGTTTTGGTCTTCAGAAATGTAGCCCATTCAAGGTAAATTTCTTATTGTTATCATTTTTATATAAAATAGTCTTTAAAACATAGAATTGGAAGTGTACTTGCAAATGGCTCATCATATAACAATGTGAGCTTTGTTGTTATATGAATTTTGGCCTACTTTCACTTTGCACAGACTTTGTGAAAACAAACTTGGCTGACAAAGCGGAATCACCTTAATGATGGCCCATCCGCTCGTAAGGCTACAAAATGCAGCTTTCGCTGTCGAGTACGGACCCCCGAACATATCACCAGTCATACCATTTTATCACAAGGTGGTATGCTGTACCATTGACGCTATTTTAAGTTTATTTATACTCGGCGCCGGAAATTCCATACAGTTGAGTTCACACTAAACTTCCCATCCTTGTGCACTTCTAGTGCACTAGAGCTGAACTAGAAGTGCACACGGTGTGCACTTCTAGTGCACTAGACCATATGACAAGGCTGGCCAGGGAAGGTGACACCTAAATGGTTTATTGGATAATTGCATATCAAGTGACAGGGGGCATACATTGTTAAGCTGCTGTAAGAAAAAAAACTTTGGGAATATATGGTCTATTCATGAATATAAATAAGTAAATTTTAAAATCAGCAGTTTTAACATTTTAGGTGATATCATGTTAAAGCTTAAAAAAAAATTTTATTGATTGTAATCATATTTTTCTTAACCAGTATTTAACTGTAGGTGTAAAATAATACACCTTAAAATTAAATTTATAGAATTAATAAAGTTAAATTTAAATATGCTCCATAATGGATAATTAAATAAGTGTTTTTTAATGGCCATGTATTTCAATTTTTCTAGTGTACAAATGGGAAAATCAATGTGATAATTCTGGCCCAAATAATTTAGTTTGTAACAACATAAACTTTTTTTCCATAAGCTCAAATAAATCAAGGAAAAGTTTATATTTAAGCTAAAGTGTTATTTTTATAATATATAACTTAGAGACAGTTCCTCATGTACAATATTAAAAGAGAATATTAATACATTGATGCTAAAACAATCAATATACTGTGAAAATTTAGTATTCAACTGTGTAATGCTTGGTAATGTTTTAAAGATATAAATAATTAAAATATTATCCATAAAATAAATAAATTTGATAACTTTATTCATGATTTCAATATCAAAAATAATGTATAAAAGGAATACTTTTATTGCCTTGGCACTCAGGCTAGTTAGTCATATAGATAAATGACCATAATTTTTGTATAATCAAATATACAAAAAAAAAATCATAACGGCATAAATGCGTATTAGATATTATTGTCTCTAAAGCAGAATTTTCTATATTTATCCAAATTTCTTGCCATTCTGCATAATCATATATAACTTAAGAGAAAATTCCTCATGTTCAAGATTGAAAGAAAATATTAATTAATTGATTTTAAAACAATCCATACACTGTGATAGTATGTTTTTCAACCATGAAATGCTTGCATACTTTTTAAAAATATAAACAATTAAAAGTTTTCCATGAATTAAATAAAATTGATAACTTTATTCAAGATTTCTGTATTAAAAATTTAATGTATAAAGGGAATGCTTTTATACAAGAAAAAAGTCTCAAGTCATGCTGTGTATTGGTATTTTTCTGAGAGCGACTGTTTTCATTATACTGGTCTCCTGCGGTCGTCTCCTGCTGACAACAGGGCCTCAGGGTAAATAACAAAAATGCAGATGTATGCAATAGTTATTTAAAAGTTCCTGTTTATTTCCCAAAATACATGTAAGACATAGATAAATGACTATAATTTTTGTTATAATAATCAAATGAGAAAAATATTCTTAATGGCATAAATGCGTGTTAGATATTATTGTCATTATTGTCTTTGAAGTGGAATTTTCTAATCTTATCATAAAAAACTGGTTTAAAATCAATATCAGTGTTAACCATTCTAGAAAGACCTCATATCAATATTTATCCACATTTCTTGCAATTCTACAAATAATAAATCTGCAGCATCTTTTAGTTTTTGAACTGGAAAATGTTAATTTTTTTCTATTATAGATTTGACAAATTTGCCTTAGTGTCAGTTTTAACACATTTGTAGAAGATAATATATTTTAAAGAAAATATTTAAATACATGATTATAAAACTTTTTGCAACTTCCTTTTCAACATTAATGCAGATGTTTTTTTTTTTTTTTTTTTTTTTTTTTTTTTTTTTTTTTTTTTTAATAAAATATCACACATGGGCAGAAAACAGTTACAGAAGATTAAAGTGTCAAAAGTCATGCTGTGTATTGGTGTTTTAATATAGTACCCCTGCTGATAAGAGAGCCCCTCGGGGTAAATAACAGAAGGCAGATGATAAATATAAGTAGGCAGTGCAAATTCTGTATTCCTCTGGATGTTGGTGCAAATAAATTTCATATCAAGTAGTAACAAAAAGAAAACTGAATTATTTTTGCATTTTATAATAAACTATTTTCAGAATAATATATATTATGTATATTTATCTTAGGTAAATCTCAGTTTTGAGAAGGTAAGAGAGATTATAAAATGACAAAATCTAGGCCAATTATAAACATATTAATTCTTTAATGTATTAAAGGCTATTAATGCTTGAAATCATTACCTTTAACTAAAGCAACCATAAGTTAAAATCAAAAAATAAATTATTGGTATTATTTGCTCCCCACACCACCAAAAAAAAAAAAAAAAAAAAAAAAAAAAAAGACTGTATTTTGTTTAATTAGCATTTCAATGTTTTTCATATTTTCATTACCAGATTATAATAAATAGAATCAAATTAAATATCAATAAATTTGTTTATTTACGCACTTATCAAACATTAAAGTAATAATTATTTTTATTTATATACTTATTCTAACAATTAAGTTTTAAAGTACAAAATCAGTAAAATTAATGACTTTGAAAAATTATTGTTCTAATATTTTACGCCATGTTTTACAAAATCCAATATTCTGAACTTCAAATTTATTATGAAAAACTATTATACAGATATCTATATTTATCTATCTTTTTGTAAAAAGTCAAATTGCTATTCATTGAAATAAAAGGTAACTGCTTTAAATAATACATATAATAGGTCTGGTGCACTACAAAGTGCACTTATGAAGTGCACTAGTAGTGCACTTTGAAGTGCACTAGTAGTGCACCTCTAGTGCACTCCTAGTGCACTTTGTGTAACCTTTAGTGTGAACTCAACTGTATGTCCGAGAATATAGCATCCTTGCCGGTCCACTAAGGTGGTCTCATCGGGGACGTCTTTGTCAAGCTGAATCTTCCTGTAGCCCATTCTTCGTTCGTTGGTGGTAGAGGAGTAAGACAATACTGACCAGGCATCATGTTCCATACTGACGATAACAAAAACGGCTCTCATTAGCGCCAGCCCTCCAGAGTTAGTCACGACAGGTCAACCAATCACCTCTGGTACTTAAGATGACTTGACCTTGACCTGCTGTGTGCCTTCTCCGCGACGTGCACGCCTCTGGAGGGATTTGGAGAAGAACCACCTGTGACGCTAATGAAATATAACTTTATATACTAAAGTTTAATTATTTAAAAACAACCAATATATCAACATGTTATTATTAAACATTTAATTTCATAAATATAAATTAAAAATAACTATCAAAAGCAAAATTGTTAAAATCTTTTGCCTGAAATCTTCTTTATATTGACAAATTCAATCACTAATAGTATACTTGATATGCTGTGTGTAAATGTATTTCAAAATGTAACAAATTATAATTTCATGTACTACTAAAAAGGGAAAAAACAAATTTATAACCTAATTGTCAAAAATCAAAACATTTATAGCTATTTATAGCTTTCGAATTTATGTAACAGCAGAACTGCTTTCTGGTTCTCATTCATTAATATGACATGCTGCGAATCACCGACGGGGAAACCAATATAGAAATCGAAAGGAGTTCTTGAATGCGGATTTACTAGATAGCTGTTGATCGAAAAGGATTTATTGCTCAAATCCGGGCCCATGGACAAAAAAAATAGTAAACACAAATAGCTCCGCGCCTGTAGGCGCGGAGCAATGATGTTCACTTTTATTTTAAAAATAATGTAGATGATTGAGACAACAGTGATCGACAACCTTAACAATTTTAAAGTCGTGATATTGACTCTTTTAAGAAGGAATAGAAGATAACTTTAGAAAATAGTTCTGTATTGTATATGTATTAAAATGTTTTGTATAGTTTTTAATATGAACTTAATTATGATATTTTTGTCAAGACCTTGTAGATTTTATTTCTGTGCTTAGAAATGTCTTTGAGAGTACAAACCTGCAGATAATCTAGAAATATAGTTTTTAGGGAAGTAATTAAGTAGTGTCTTTGCCGTAATTCACCATAAATTTAAGATGAGTGTCGTTTCATTTGTATATGCCGTTATCATGTGAAACGAAAACTTTCGGTGAAATATATTACAAAATTCAATATTTCAGTAACACAATTCAATATTTCAGTAACACGTTTGTAAATTTTTACAAATATTGAACACAAATACAAGATATGTATAAATAAAGTTATCGAAATTTGTTAAAGAATCCCTAGCTTTGAGAAACACAATCTTAAATCCTTGGCATTAAATGTCATAAACTGCCAATTCTCTTTTTCGTCACATCATCAAACTGGCGGAAAATCTGTACGCAACAACTGAGGCATAAATAACACTGAACAAGCGAAAAGTATGTAGGCTTTGAAACTTAAAAATAAATACTTCGGTTCTACTAAACAGATTTGTAAAAATCTAATTGTCGATCCGAGAGTTAAATATTACACTGGTATTAAGCGTTTTGATTATCTCGATTTAACAAAATGGAAGCTGGTAACATTCAACCTGGAAAAAATTACAAACTGTATCTAGAAATGTATAAAAAAAACTATATTCAGAAATGTATAACTTAAAATTTGCGACATGTAGAAATGTAAGGGATAGAACGTACACAACGCGTTTTATGCCGTACATCATGACGTTGAAAATGTCACTGCATCAGTTAACACACTCTGGTTGACAACACCACACTTTCCCTTTACAACGATTTTGCAACTTCCATATATGGCAGTATCACGTAAATAGACGTAGATTAAAAGGTAGAGAGGAGAAGCAACTCTTGCTGTACAGTTATAATGAGTACAAAAATATTTCAAAATAATCAAACTATGGTGGCTGATCGGGCACGCTTTTGTGCGTCTAGTTGGCGCCAGCGACAAAGCGCCAAACGGCGCGTTGTCGGACTTTCGTCTTGTCGTCCTGTCGCTAGCGATAACACACCAAAGCGCCAAACGGGGCGTTAATTGTCGCGCTGTCGTCCTGTCTCTAGCGCGGCACGCCAAACGGCGCGTTGTCGTGCGCACGTTGTCGCGATGTCGCCCTGTCGCTTGGCTTATAAGCCAATCCTTCAATTTGAACCGAGCGACAATGTGACATCGCGACAACACGCCGCACGACAACGCACTGTTTGGCGTGCGGCGCTAGGACGACAAGACGACAGTGCGACAACGCCCTGTTTGTCGTTCTGTTGTGTTGTCGCTAGCGCCAACGCAAAGAACAAACTCGTATAGAATCAGCCACCATATAAAACTGTTATATATGTCACATACATCAACTGCATTACAGTTGACTTTGAATATCCTCTGATTTTGTTAAAAAGTATTCTAGCAGTTAAGATATAATGTAACGGTACGAATTTCTAAATTCGTTCACATAAATTTGTGTACTCATATGTTTTACATTCAGCAGTCAGAACTAAAATGCGATACATGGATTTCACTTTTGGCAACATATATAAGTCAGTAGGTGCCTTCTTTCTTTGAAGGCATTTATTGATCTGAAGAAAACCCCAATTTCTTTACCAAATGTATAACCACGGAACTATGCAAAGTTCTCTATAAATGCCGTGGTGCAACCAAAAACTTATGACTTTAATTGACCCATTTCAATTTTGTAATAAATATTCAGTGTATCCTAGCATCTCTCTTTACATCCAATGGTAGATAATTGGAGTCATAGAATGTGATTTAACTTTTTATTATTAAATTATATATGTAAGCTGGTGTAGCTTAAGGTCTTCAGCGAACCCCTTTTATTCATTTGACTAAAACAGTAACAACTCTAAGATATGTGTATACATGCTGTCAATAGCTTGCACCTAGACCTGCTGTCTTTCTGATAAAAAACAGAGAACTATTTTATGTACAAGAAATACTACATAGAATATTGTTATTTTTTGTAAGTGATGGCTTTCTTAGAGATAAAATGAACAAGGTATACATAAATTGATACTCAACATACTTACCTTTGGACTCATTTTAATATCATTATTGAAAAAATATGGTAAATATGGGTAAATGTATCCATACATTATGGTTAAAATAAAAATGTTATGTACGAAGGAGTAGTTGCTTACCACAACTTTAGTTTTAATTGTGCTATTTTAAAAGCTTTTAGTCATACGCTAGTATTAATGTTACTAATTAATGTAATAGTAAATGCTAATACCAGGAAAGACAGCAGCCAAAATTGGCCTGTATTAGTATCTGGTCGTAGCAAAATCTTTGTCAGATGTTGATTTGAAAATTTGAAAGTGGTAAGGTAGCAGCTTAACTGTCAATGTTACTAATTCCTATGCAAATTGGAATCCTTGAGTAAAATGTATGTGTCTTTAAAAAGAGCATGTTGAATATAGTCTTAACAATAACGTTATCTTCCTTGAAAAACATTTACCATAAAAATATTTAGGCCTATAATCATTTATGTAAAGTCCACTGATGTTGATTGAATAAATGCATGGAATGGCAATCATGCAAGTGAATTATGTTTGGTGAATAACTGTCATGATTTGCAAACACATAACAGGCTCCAAAATGTTTTACATTGTAAAATGTGTGATAAATGGAAACTAAATTGTTTCATTGTGATCGGAGAACCAGTCGCTGACGGTTAAAACCGAAAATAAGCGGATAAATACGTTTATTTACGATGATGTAGTGGAAGGAGGAAATGGGCGGAGCTTATTTATCTCTTATTGCAAAACGTGTACAGATAGATTATGCTGATCCGAATCATAGATGGTTTGACATTGTAAAGCTAAGAAGGTTACTTCGATTATGTTGGCATATACACGAACAATAGGTATTCTGCATGTGATTATGAACACTTGGAATTGGTACTCTCAGAAAACAAATTCTTGTTTTGTCGTTTAAAAAATGTATTTTGTTGAAATACATGTTTGTAATGTTTGCAATGTAAAATCGGCAAACTGAATCCAAGAATGCTAAATTAGAGTCTATATACATATAAAGAAATATAATTGTATTTTGTCAGTAAACAAACCGTTCAGGCTGGAATGTTTGGCAACGCATAGCCTCCAATGAAACATCTTACTTAATAAGCATACAACTTGCTGGTTATCAAATATCAGATGTGAATACTTTTTTTATATATACTGAACCAAAAAAGAAACTTTCGCAAAGTATGTGCCAGTTGTTCAAGGGTACCACTCAGATGTACACACTTAGATACATGTAGTAGCTTGTAAAACTCGTTTTGTTTGCAAAATCGGTCAGCTTATCCCCGTATAAAAGCACGATATGTTTATTCAACGTAAAAAATCGAGTTTCAAAAGGATTGAAAAACTGTACTAACATTATTTACATTCAAACTTGGATTTGTTTCAGTATATTTTAATTCTTTTAAACAGAAAACAGTTAAGTTATATATTAAATCTTAGTGCATTTATGACCAAATATATAAGGTACATGTATTACATTGCAGACTTCTTAACAGTAAGATTTTTGTATTTTTGTTTGAATGGGTTTTACTTCACACCGACACAGTTTAGGTCAATTGGCGGCGTTTCAGCTTTACTGGTGGAGGAAGATCTCAGGTGCCCTTCCGTGCATTATTTCATGCACGAACGGGCACCTGAGTATAACCACGTTCCATCAGCTAGCTGGATAACTTCCTCACATGAAAGAATCCAAATTCCCGGTCGGAATTCGACCCTACAGCGGTGAGGGGCAAGTGGTTAAAAGTCAACGACCTTAACCACTCGGCCACGGACGCCCCGTACAGTTACAATGGAAAGAGCAGTAAGTAATAGTAAGAGCATTGAATATACTAGGGATGGGTAATGCATTCCTGACCAAAATAATTATAACTATAAATAAATAGTTTATGCCTCATCGTTCCTATAAATCAAATGGCCGAGTGTTAGTATTTTCCCATAAATAGGAGAAGTAAAATAAATTTAAGTTTGATAGTTCGTAAGTATCTTAGAATATACTAAGGTAGTAATGAGGTAATAAATGTAATAAATAAGTAAGTAAGTATGTTATAATGTAGCATGTTTGTTTGAAAGTAGCTAAGAAGGTGGTAATTAAGTAAGTAGCCAAGTTGGTAAGCTAGTAATGAAGCTTCAGATGTTTAACGGTTACTACATGTACTACCTATTGATTCAATAATATTAAGGTAGAAATTATGTTAAACATTTTACAGGAAAACTTGGTGTAATGCTTCCATATTTCAAAGGTAAACATTGTGCTTTTTTCCAGTAGTATAGAAGTAAATACTGAGCTATGTCAATATTTATAATGCTAAACACTGCGCTATGTTTAATAGTAAAAAGGCAAACACTGCGTAATGTTTCAATAGTATAAAGGTAAACACTACCTTATGGTTACTGTAGTATAAAAGTAAATATTTCTGTAGTACAAAGGTGAACACTGTGTTATGTTTCCATATTATAAAGGTGAATACGGTGCTGTGTTTCAATAGTCGAAAAGTAAACCCTGTGCTATATTTCAATAGTATAAAAGTAAACACTATGTTATGTTTCAATAATATTAAAGTAGACACTATCATGTTATGTTTCTGTAGTATAAAGGTAAACACTGTTTTATTTTTCATTTGAAAAAAGTAATCACTGTGTTATGTTTCAGCAAAATAAAGGTTAAACACTGTGTTATGTTTTAACAGTTTAAATATAAACAGTGTGCTTTGTTTTAATAGTGTAAAGGTAAGCAGTGTGTTATGTTTTAATTGTATCAAAGTAAACACTGTGTTATATTTCAGTAGTATCCAGGTGGCACTCTGTTGTGTTTCTATAGAATAAAAGTAATCACTGTGTCAAGTTTAAATAGTATAAATGGAAAAATGTAAACACTGGGCTGTGTTTCAATAGTATAAAAGAAAACCCTGTGTTATATCACAACAGTTTACAGGTGGAATTTGTGTAATGTGTACGATATGATATGGGTAAACTCTGTGCTATGTTTCAATAGTATAAAAATAAACACTAAACGCTCATGTCAGGTATTTGAAGTTTATAGTTTTTGCATTCAACAGAAAATGTCTTTCTGTGCTCAACCCCTACATTACTTTAGATGTTTCATTGAAACATTTACAGAAAGTGATTGTTTTGTCTTGTCTTTTTTAAGTTGACTATCATATCTTTATAATTAGGAGAGCTGTCCTACTCACTCGGACATTCTGTGTCTGCGTCACAATTCTGGTGAAGTTTTTGTAACCACCCCTCTTATTTCCTTTCCTCTTTGAGATATTGCTTTGAATACTTGCTTGTTGCAGTCATCCCCTCTTCTAGGTTTGAGGACATAAATTTCTCATGGATTTTGACAAAATTATACCCCCTTTTCAACTTCAGATTTCAGTTAAGTGTTTTGTTCAACCTTACTTGTTCCCTTTGAGATATTGCTTTATATAAGTTTTTTTTTTGTTGATAAAGTTATGCCTCTTTTTCAACTTTAATTTGGTTAAGTTTTTCATACCATTCGGTGGCAGCCCGCTTATTTCCTATACCCGTTCAGGTATTGCTTTGAAACTTAAAATACATGCAAGTTACCACCATACCCTTTTTCAGAGCAAATTCTTTTAATAGTGGAGTACTTAGTCTTTAAAACAGCTCTTATATCATTTTGACGGAATAATGACCCTTTGATTTTCACATAATCAGTTTTAGCTGAAAAGTTGGTTTTGTCACTAGATGTCCCTCCTTACATAGCTCAATCCTTATAATGGACTGGCTTCCCCATTACTTTTACATTTTTCCATTTTAGTCTGACCTAACTGTAGTATGTCATTATAGCTAGCAAATTGAAAGGATTATAAAGTGCTTACCATATCAACAATCATTTTAAAGGAGTTTGGAGATTTTGATATGAAAAAGTAAACATTTGTAAATTTTATATTTTTCTTCAAGTTGTCCATTTTTTGTTTTCATCTATTGAATGTTATTACATGTACAGGGTATTTTTTGTAAAAAGGCCTGGGTCTGTTCATTTTGTGAAAAAAAGCATGATATGTCATAAAATTGTGAAAAAAATATATTACATCAAATTTGCCATTTTGCAGCATTTTGAAACCTGAAACGGTGTGTGATCAGGGCTTTTTTCCCTTCTATAGTAGGGGCCATTATAGGGCTGCTTCCTCAAAGAAAAATTATTTAAAATCATGCAGTTTTCTCCAAAAATTGAATTTGCATAAAGTTTTTTCTTCCCTTTTGCAAATATACTGTGTAATTTTCCCCAAAAATTTAGGGAAGGGCTGCTTTCCCAGCCTGTGGAAAAAAGTGCTAGCGATGAAGGCTTGATTATAATTACTGACCTGTGTAAAATCTGCTTCGAGTCATTACTTTAACCCGGTAAACATGCACTAGCCAAGTTTACTCAGTTTAAAGTATTTATGTTTTTGTAATTAACAAAAATCAAGTGTTATTGGAAGGTAAACAATGAATTTTGAAGACAAATTCCCAATAGTTTGTGAAATTTCTTTTGAAATTATGAATATTTTTCCACCGCTTTGTGAAAAAAAGTGCAATTTTGTATTGTGAAAGGGTCAAGCATTTTTATAGAAAAAAAAATTCCCTGCATGTATAATTATGTGACATTATAGTTGTATGTTACTATGTCTGACTGATGTACTGTCCATTTCTGATAATGCCTTCATTCATATACAAATAGTTTTATAATTCTTGTTAATTTATTGTAATTTGTCAATCATATTTACAGAGTACATAAAGGTGAGAAGCCATTTAAATGTCGTGTATGTGAGAAGAGTTTTACATCAACTGCTTTACGTAACCAGCATATGGTGGTCCATTGGGGACATAAGACGTATATCTGTGACGTATGCGGTAAAGGATTTATGAGTCGTAAACATTTTAAAGATCACATGAGGATACATGACGGAGAGCAACCTCACAAATGTGAAACCTGCGGCAAAGATTTCATCTACTACAGGTATATATACTATCATACTATCTGATGTCGGCTCTTACCACCCTAATGTCTTAAACTGACTTGTCTATCTTTCAATCTGGACAAGACCTTTTAACATTTGTAGGGAAATTTACAAAATAAATACTGACTGAATAGCAAACAGTGCAAACCATGATCAGACAACATGCATGTCAGATTACCTTGGTCTGCATGCACTGGTCAAATGGGTAGAATAAGTTACTGTCAATAGGTTATAACTTAAGTAAGAAAATATTTTATATTGTGAGTTTGTATTTTATACAATTTGTACATAAAGTTTCTTTGTCAGTGTGTCAGAATGTGTAAAACGTAAAATACATGATAACTTAAAACTCCAGGGTATTGCGAGTCGTCTTGAGAAATGCCTCAATAATTTTGTTTTTGTCATAGCTCACATCATATTTGGTTAATACAACAAGCATTAGATGTACAGAATGAAGATTTCAAATGTTCAGTTTTTGGGCAAAATATATTTTCTGTAAGGTTTAAAGATATTATCTCTTAAACCATTTGTTGTTTATCCCTGACTTCATTAAAAGGTGTGAGGATATTTGCTGTTACTTGGATCAAAAGCAGATTTGATAACTTGTAAGTAAACTGCTTGCTGATATACTTAACCTACAGACAGCAAATCCCAAACAGTTTTAATTTATATTTCTTAATAAATTATATTGTAACAGAAAAAAAATTGATTTTTTCTGTAGGAGTTTAGTTCGACATATGCTGGTGCACATAGACCCTAGAGAAAGACCAAAACCATATAAATGTGAATATTGTAACAAGGAGTATACAGAAGTGACTGGCTTTAAACATCATATGAGAGCTGTTCATACAGGTATTGTGCCATACAAATTACCATCGATTTAATTATTATGCCCCCCTTCGAAGAAGAGGGGGTATATTGTTTTGCTAATGTCGGTTCGTCTGTCGGTCTGTCTGTCGGTCCGTCGGTCTGTCGGTCTGTCCGTCGGTAGACCACATGGTTTCCGCTGATTATCTTGAAAAGTATTTATCACAAAGTCTTCATATTTCACATAGTGATTGGTCATCACTAGTAGATGACCCCTATTGATTTTGGGGTCACTAGGTCAAAGGTCAAGGTCACAGGGACCTTAAATATCAAAATGGTTTCCACTTATTATCTTGCAAAGTATGTATCACAAAGTCTTCATATTTCACACAGTGATTGGTCATAACTAGTAGATGACCCCTATTGATTTTGGGGTCACTAGGTCAAAGGTCAAGGTCACAGGGGCCTTAAATGTCAAAATGGTTTCCGCTGATTATCTTGAAAAGTATGTATCACAAAGTCTTCATATTTCACATAGTGATTGGTCATAACTAGTAGATGACCCCTATTGATTTTGGGGTAACAAGGTCAAAAGTCAAGGTCACAGGGGGCTTTAAATGTCAAAAGGGTTTCCGCCGATTATCTTGAAAAGTATTCATCACAGAGTCTTCATATTTCACCTAGTTATTGGTCATAAGTAGTAGATGACCTCTATTGATTTAGGGGTCATTAGGTCAAAGGTCAATGTCACATGGGCCTTAAATGTCAAAATGGTTTCCGTTGATTTTTTTTCATAATTGAACACTTCCATGTACCCATTTTTGGCAAGTTTCTGTAATAAAATTACCAATTATGTGAGTCAATGGCTAGAAAGGGGGGTATATGTGTCGTTCGACATTCTTGTTTTGTTGATACTTTTGTAAAGGCCTCTGTGGCTTAATAGGTATGGTCACAGACAGTTTACCTAAATAGTGTTAAGAATGTGCATCCCGGTATATGGTATTAGTCCTTTAAAGACTGTATATTGTACTAAATTTACAACATTTTTTTCCAGTTTTTACTTACATGTCTGATTTTTGTGAATTTATCTTTATATAAATTTCTTCCATTTTTAAGCTATTTTTGTAAAAATTTTATTGGGTTTTACAATTGATTGTAGGATCTAAAATCATATTTGTTTATTTTGTTATTTTTCTCAGGTGAAACACCATTCCAGTGTGACATATGTGGCGAGTCATTTCATCGTAATGATAAATTGAAACGTCACATTAAGTCTCGTCATCACGTTGCCAAGGGCAACAAGGAGTTAATAGTGACAACAAGACGTGCATCACATGGATTTCCAGTCATTGTGAAAGCTGAGAATGAACATCAGGAAGATTTACTAGAGATTGTGGAGGGAAATGAAGTAGAGGGAGGACAAAATGAGCTACATGTAGACGTAATTCAACAAGAAAATGATGGGCAACAACAAGTATACCTTATAGGTAAACAATATGTTACGATTCTTATAGTTAATTGGTAGAATGATAGGTAAGGTAGGTCTTATGTTGCTGGGTAAATTAGTAGCTTTGTATCATGAAGTATATCACCATATGTATGAGGCACACAGCGTCACAGTGGTCATATTTGTTCCCAGTCATATTTCCTCAATGTATGTAGAAGTCCTTCTCCAGATATATCTTATGTTGTTGAACATCTTTTGTAACAAGTAATAATAAAATCCTTCAATGGATGTAAAAGATAAGCTCCTGACAAAATGTTCACCACAATAAGACTTGAATGTTTAAGTATAATCCATATCCTTTATATACGTAAGGGACCACCTTCTTGGTCTAGGGGTTAGTCGATGACCTCTCTGGCTTGGGTTCGATCCCTGGAAAATGCGTTGGTAGTTTAGCACGGAGGAATGTAGTCTTGTACTGTTGTAACTCTCCAGGAACGATGGTAAGGAAACTTCCCGCCTATATGATTGAAATACTGTTGGGAAAAGGTGTAAAAAGAAACAAACAAAAATATATGTAAGGTCAAGGTGACAGATAACTGGGGACAACTGTTTGAAATGTTATTTACGTCACATTAAAAATGAACACATTATAGTAACTAAATCTTCATGTGTTTTGTAGGCTTAGGACAAGGAGGGGAGGCAGCTTATTTACAGGAAATACAAGTGATTGAAGGTCCTGATGGCACAAGATATATTATAGCAGGATCAGGCGAGGAACTACAAGTTATTGAGTCTTCTAACTTACAAGTTACTGAGGTAAAAGTTTTTTTTTCCTACACATTATTTTAAAATAATACTACATTTGTCATTTACTATCTAATGTTATAACCCTAAAACTAAGACTTGATTTCTGCAGAAAATCTCCATCATATTCAGGCTCAAGAGTTTGGAACTCCCTCCCAATAAATGTAAGAAATTCCACTAACTTACATGCATTTAAAAATAATAATCTGAAATGGTGCTTCTCAGGTGGGAAACAGTTCTCAGTTGAGTCAAAAGGTCACACTTGGCCAATAAAATAAATTTAATATTCTAAATGTTCACATTCATATTTTCTTATAACAGTTTTTTCAGTAACATGTTTTTGTATGCTGTATAACAATTTGTAAATATTTTGTTTGTTACTGAACATATTTGATATCGGCTCATAGGGAAGACTGGGCTTGACTAAATGTAATGTGCTTTGAAATAAAGTCATTATTTTTTCTACTACTACCACTATTATCATCATTATTATTATCATTATTGTTATTATAATTATAATAATAATAATTATTTTTATTATCATTATTACATCTACTAAAGTTATAGTATGTTACATGAAATGGTCACAGAAAAGGTCACACTTGGTGATTAAAGGTCAACATTTTGTCTGTTGGAGGGAATATTTTGTGTCCGGTCCATAATTTTTTTCATCGTCCAAGGGATTTTAAAATGCTAGGTACAGATGTTCACAATAAAGAGACGGTAAGTTATGGATAAGGCACAACACATAGATCCCAACCTTCAAGGTCAAGGTCGCACTTTGGGGTCAAACCTAAACACGGTCTGTTAAAGAATATATTTTGTGTCCAGTTCATAACTTGTTCATCAGTCAAGGGATTTTGTAAAAACTTAGCACAAATAAATATTTACAAGAATAAGATGATGTGTCATGCCCAAATCTGACCCCTATCTCAAAGGTCAAGGTCACAGTTGGAAGTCAAAGTCTTACAGGGTATGATGCCAAGTAAGCGTCAAGCAAACAAAATGTCATTGGTGAATCGCCCACATACCTTGATTGATGAAAAAATTACAGACAAGAAATATACCCTGTTTACCATACAAACAAGATTTATTTAATATTAGATTTTTCTTTGTAACATGCTCAAAAGGGTGAGATTGACGTTACAAACAACATTTTATTATATTTGTAGCATGTTCAGGAGGGTGAGATTGTAGAGGGAGGAGTTATACAGCAGATACAACAAGTGGAACATATTAAGGATTCTAGTAGTGGAAATATTTTGGTCATGAATGATGGTGAAGAACAGACATTAAGTACATTGGCAAACATGGCGAGTGAAGCTTCAGTGGTTAAATTAGATTAGAATTCTATCATCATGGTTATTTTTTGACAAGTTTTAACTGGTTATTTGTTAGAAAAACATGTTGATATTTTTTATTGAATGTTAAATTTTATATCATTTATTTTAAAAGAATAGAACAAACATAAAGAGATTGCCTACACATCCATTGGTACTTACATAGAGGAAACTCATGTTTTGTGTCACCTTGAAAAAGTCGACATATAGGGTTACTTTTGTTGGTGGCAGTGTCGCCGCGTCCCTATAGTCTTGCTTCTTACATGCTTCGTTCATCGTTCAATGACCTGAAGAGCAGTGCATAAGAATCGGTACTTTGCACTTCTTATTTTTTGAGTTATTGCCCTTTGATTATTTTCATACTTTATAATTGTCCGGGACATTTCAAATTTTCCTAAAGTATAAATAGCTATGGACATGAAACCTCATAGACTAATAGATCTCATTTAGAAGAAGTGCAGTGCTTTAAAGCCAGTACTTTGTACTTCATGATTTTCGAGTTATTGCCATTTGTTAATTTTAATTCTTTATTTTTGTCCAGGCCAATTCTCCTACACTTTAAAAGCTATTGACTTGAAACTTCATAGGATGATGGATTTCATTGAGAAGAAAGCAGTGATCAAGAACTTATACTCTGCACTTAATGATGTTTGAGTTATTGCCAATTGTTCATTTTCTTACTTAATACGCTTGTCTATAGCATTACTTAGTCACTATAAGTTTGACTCCAAATTTGGTATGTTGACCTGAAGTGCAGTGCTAAAAAGTCCATCACAGTCCTCCATTTAATTTGTCAGTGTTTCCATGTTTTTTTTTATTTTTGATAAAACAGTTTTATAAATCCGGATGTAACATCCTTAAAATCAGTTCAAATGCCACTAATGTTACATGTTATAAATAACCTCTATTTAAGAAGAAAATGCCTAACTGACAGCTAAACTGTTGACAAGGCAACACGTCCGACTCGCAGAGTTCTAGTTTCTATGAAAATATGATTTATTTTCATCGAGAGATATGAAAATAAAATTAATATTTTATAAGTGATGTTGTGTACTGCCTGAATTTGGAAGAAAGAAGTTTGGAATTAAACGCATTTTATTTCATCAATATTTCATTTAAAAGTATTATAATAAAACCTGTTATCCTCACTTAATCATTTGTGAATAAATAAGCCTAAGATATGAAAATAAAATTAATATTTTATAAGTGATGTTGTGTGCTGTCTGAATTTAGAAGAAAGAAGTCTGGGATTAAACGCATTTTATTTCATCAATATTTCATTTAAAAGTATTATAATAAAACCTGTTATCCTTACTTAATCAATCATTTGTGAAAAAATAAGCCTATTGTTATGTAAATTGACTATGTAAATGTTAAAATCATACTATGTTTGTTGATTATAATTCATAACAGTATAAAATACGGTGTATTTATTTCAAATGTATATTTGATTTTGTGATTACATAAATTTAAAGTGATTAAATTATTTGGGTACATGCATATATATTTTGTGCTAAGATCAAATAAATGTTAGACTGATAGTCATCTCATAGCATTGTGAGTGTTTATTTTACCTGACAAATTAATTTGTTATCCTTACTATTGAATGAAAATAAAACATGATAAAATTACGTTTTAATTTCTTATATTGTTATCAACAATTATCATATAAAATCACCGATTTCTAAAAGGTGGGTACATGTACATTTCGTTAGTAGACATGTGTGTTTTTGCTCAATAACCAAGGCCCAGTATTCATGTTTTTATAAAATGATTGCCTTTATTTATTTATACAGAAAGTATTATAGCTTGATTTTAGCTATAAGCTTATTTAACCAGTACTATAGGTAAATTTGTCTAAAGTTTCTCGCTCAAGGGGAAAAGACACCTATTGCCATAGGTGCAGCTGCTAAAAAAAGTTATTAGTGATATATTTATTTCAGTCTCAAATATATACTTATATTTACACATCAGTACTTCATAATAAAATATACATAATCAGTCTATTGCAGATTTAAAAGAGACTTGTCGGCTATAAAAAAAAAACAATTCACCTTAAAAGCTACAATAAAAATATTTCCGCTATATAATTAGAACAGTTATAAGACACATCTATTGTTTTAAAAGTTGACATTTTACAATTACCTTGTCATATGTTTTTTATTCTTCACTTGCATATTCATCAGTTGTTAAAACAATTAAATATCGCTTATACATTTTTTCAAAGACATTTATGTTGAATTGTCTTCATGACTTGTGTCTTTATATATTATATACATGATATATAATATAACACACTTTGCATGTTTTGCCGGACTGATATTTTTTAGATATATGATTTATTTAACATTGATATACACAATTGTTTCATCATATTGTATTAGCTAATATGATTGAATACATACATTTCCTGCAGTAAAGAGTATTGCTAAATTCTTTTTTATTTGTTTAATGAGATATACTCAAAACAACTAAATTGTCCGATGAAACTGAAGCAACTAATACACAGTTTTTCTTTTTGTCATAGCACATAGCTAATGGATTCTTAAGACCACCTTGATTATCAACTAATTCGCCCAGACATTTACCATCTCTATCAAACATCATGATGTTGTGTGAAGTACCACCACAAATAAACATGGTCCCGCCATTGGCTACACATACACCACGTGTGATGGCAAGCCTTTTATCTCTCAGTTCTCTCTTCACCGTACCATCTCTGTTCAGACAGACGGCACCGTCACTATAATCTGTTACAATAACAGTATCTCCATTGACAACCTTTTGTTGTATATTTGATTTAAATATGCGTTGGCCATTAACCCCATTATTGATAGTCTTTATCAATGTACCAGTCATACTGTATACGTTTACACCATTTACATCAGATACCCACAACTCTCCATCACAATATGTCATTCCGTTGTAATCTCCACCTGTAACAGATATATCTCTCACCTTAGATAACGAGCTCCCTACTGATATAAACCAAACTTTTCTGTTGACAAGTTTCACAGCGACCTCAAAATTACCAGTATAACAGATACCTCTAGGACTTGATTCTAGATCCAAACAATCTTTAATGTTATAATTCACATTAAGCCTCTTTATCCTCTTATTATAATAGTCAGCCAGTATGATTGTACCATCTGCAAGCTGACATATATCAATAATGTAGCATTGATTACTGTCATTTGTCATCTTGACATTAATCTCCTTCCGTGAACTTACTTTATATACTTTTGATGTCAATAGACTGTTCTTCTCTGTTACTTTCTGTACACGCCCTAGACATGTTGATGTTCTAATTATGGACTTTAATTCTGTATTCTCTGTAAAACGTAAACACACTCGACCTTTATCCTCGCTTTGTTCAAACACTTTCATTGCATCGTTTACAGTCTGTTGTGTCAGTTTTGTCTGAACAAATTGTTCTCTCGCATTAAGATTATGGGCTGTCTGTAGCTGGCTAGTTGTTTTCTCAATTTCTTGTTTAACTTTACTTATCTGAGAGATATTTGTCGCAAGCTCCTCTTTAATCAAAGTATATTCTGTCTCTAGAGCTTCCAATGCTTCATGCTTCAATTTCTGAATATGTTGTACCAAGTCCCGTTCAATTGCCTCCACCTGTGAAATGACGTCATTTCTTTGCTCCTCAATGCTATTGTTGTTCGTCTGCATATTCCGTTCAGTGTCTTCTAAACGCTTTTGAATGTTAACCATATCTGAACTTAAACGCTCAATGTCATTTTGCTGATTTGAAGTAATATCAACGTCTTCTAAATTAAGTATTCCACTGCAAGCTCTGGAGTAAAAAATAAATTATTTCCGATTAAACAAGCTAAATAAAACATCACCGCGTCACTTTCTTACAAGTCTGAAATATCAGAAAATATTAGATGTATTTGCATAATTATTATAATGGTCAAAGGAATATTAGAAAACTTTTCTTTCAAAGACAACATCAATGCAAACTAAACTATGTTCCTTTTAACATTCAAATCGAAAAAATCCTTCTTTTCTTGTCCTACAGCACGTCCTTTTTCATTGTGCAAAACAATTATCAAAATGAAAATGTTAGCTATGACTTAAAGTAAATCATATTTCTTTTAATCTCAGTCATCTTTTCTACATTTCGTGTTTGATTATTGAATAAAATTATATGTAACATATCGCAAAATCATTACTAAAATGTCACTTATTAAAATGCATAATTTCGAAAAGGCTTTGCTATATCAACCTGTATTTTCTACATTTTGATCTGGCACTGATCTTTATCATACCTACATGAAAGAAACCCTTTATTCCTATTAAAATTCGTCATGCGTGATCAAAGTACAAAAAACTACTTTGATATGCAGCATCAGCAAATGATGTGTGTATGAAATATAAGAATATTTTTGGTATATTCAATCGTGTATTGGATATCGAATAAGAAAAATAAAAAAACACCATGAAATGTGGTAAAACTGTCAAGTCGCTGTATTATTGGCCAACAGAATCTCATTGCGGCTTGTAATGACAACTTTCATCTCAATTTTAATGAAAAGGAAAATTTAAACGAGAGCAAAAAACTTTCTTTAAACTTTGTTGGATTGAACAGAATAATGATCAAAACAAACTAAGAAATTAAATTAAATGTCATTACCCAATATTTTGAGCCGTCTGCATCGGTAGCTAACGTTTATGGCTCTTTTTTAACTCAATTTTAGGAGCAGATTCTAAGAACCTTATTATGTAAATGTTTAGATTATAAATAAATATTTTTCCAACTTAACACTGATTTGAATAACTTTTTCCAGAAAATGACATAAAAGAGCTAAAAACTCACTTACAGGGGCAACTCAGAAAAAAGTTTTATAAGGTTGTTTCATTTACGATTTTCTTGAATTAATTAAAGTTAAAGGCACATTATGTCCCAGAAATACTTATTTCTTTATAATTCTTGAGAAATGTCAAACATATGTTTAACAATGTTTAATTAATGGAATAAGAGCATGTTAGATGTTTTACAACTGAAAAAGTCAATCAGAAATCAAGCATTGAATTTTATTTGAGCAATGTAGTGATTAATTGTGAATTAAATTTTTAATTAACCGGAACTTTTTGCCTAGATCTTTAGGACAAGGTTAAATACGACAAGAGGTTATATGTTACGCTAAAATAACAAATTATTATTTAATTCGTCTACACTCAACATAAATGGCTAACTGTATATACATTTGACATTTGAAATACCGTATAACGAAGCAAGAGAAAACACATTAAAGACACTAAGTCATTAACAATTCAATCACTGGATTCAGAGTCAAAGTTAAGGCAAATGAACATATGACCCCTTAAGCCAGCATACCATTCTTCAAACTGAGAAATACATTTTAACAAACAAGGAAGAGAAAGCATAAATACGCTAAATACTTAATATAAACAAACCTGTGATTTGTGGCAATACATTTCGTGCAATACACCATATCATGTTCTCCACAGTACATTTCAATGTCACGATCTGGATGGTAACGACACTTGTTAACCATGGTTACCGTTGACCCTTTTGTTGAAGCATCACAATCTTGTAACGTATGTGACCGTAAAGCTTTCCGTCGACCATGTTGTCGTGTACATGATGTACACAGATATTCGTCACATACGGGGCAAAACTTTACAGCCTCTTCTCGAATATCATCATCCCCACATGGAGTGCAAGTGTACTTAAAGTCAGCATCCGAGCCATCTTTTTTTGAAGTCAAATCGCCTCCCTCAGCCATTTTTCATGTTCGTTCTGATTTCTGTACATCAAAGGGAGTAAAAATAATTTGAAATATGAGAATAAGGATCACGGGAGAGCCACATTCACAGTGCACAGACCCCACAATTGTCAAAAGATAAGACCCAAAAAGGGGATACAAAAACGGGCAGGGGCAGAAAACTGCTTCATATAAAGTAATACAAGAGCTCGTGGTTTTACCTCGGGATTAAATTTTCTTTAGGGGCTTCTATTGGATATTTTAGTGCTTTGCCTTATACAATATGCTAATAAAAATATTTCATGCATTTATAAAGGTTTATCATTTAATAATTACTGAATGTTCGTGTTTGTGTGGTTTGTTTTTACATATTATACTGTAATTGAACTTATGTGGTTCAGAAAGTAATTCAGCTACCTTATGCTTAATCTACCCATATTTTATAATTGTTTGTGCCGGTGTCAAAAAGACCTTTGTTCATTTCTCAACATACCGGTAGTTAAATTTTACGGAAATACCCAAACCTTAAACAGATAACTGATATGTTATCTAGAAAGTACCCTGCAGTGAAGCATGCTTTCATATTTTATGTATCCGAAATATTTTTTCTGCACTTGAACTGTTTTTAGCAAATGTATTTGAAACTCAAAGTAAATCTGAATTGCCACCCCTGCCAACTATGTTAAATTATTAGTTATAAAGATATTTGGCAGGTTATATGGCCCTGTATAAACAGTTGTTTATAAATATAACCCAAGCCGCTAGGCGATGGTTATATTGCAAACAACCATTTATATACGGCCATATAACCTGTCAGAAATATTTATAAAGAATTTATAATAAAGTAAGCATCATTTTTTAGAGGAATAAAGCTAGATTTCTTTATAAATCGACAGAAGCCATGTATCTAAAAAAATTTATTACTGCACGTTTGTAACGTCACTTTTCATTGGATAATCGTGACGTTTATATAGTTTTATAAACACAGCTGCTGTCGTCTCATGAAGAAATCTTACTTTTTTCTTTAAAAAATGGTGCTTGCTCCTAGCAGCTCGGTTATATTTACAAATAGCCGTTTATATAGGGCCATATAACATGTCAACAATCTTTATAACTAATAATATAAACGTCACGATTATCCAATGAAAAGCGACGTTACAAACGTGCAGTATTATACTATTATTAATAATTCTGTTCGTTTGAAACGCCGTTTCAATGGATAATCGTGAATTTAATGTAATTTTATATACACGGCTGCAGTCAAACCATGAAAAAATCCCATTTTTTCCGAAAAAAAAAAGAAATTTGGTGTGTTATAAATTTCTTATCAAGATTCCTGACAGGTAATATGGCCGTATATAGACGGTTGTTGTAACATTCGTCTAGCGGCTCAGGTTTATAGGAAACAACCGTTTATATAGCTCAAAAACTTTTTAACTAATAATATATTATATACGCTTTATAATAACTGCGATTTGTTAGACTGAAAAAAGTATGAAAAAAACCAAACACAAACAATAACCACAACAACGACACATTTCAATTTGGCACGTTTGTTAAAATATACAACTGAATCAGGTACAGTCGTATGTACATAAATTTTTAATATAATATTCCACTATCTATACTGAATGACAAAGATTAGATTAGAAGGGTATTGAACTAGCGCGCTTAAATATTTACATAGTAAACCAAGTCAACGAAAATATTAATACATGTATTTAATCTGTTTAGCATGGTTTTTGATTTGGTGCCATTCGTTTTTTTGCCCCAAGACCCAGGCATACGAAAAGTCGAGAAATTATAAGTTAAAACTGCGGGGACGCGGAGCGAAAACACACAAATTAGCGCCCGCTTATAAGCGTGTTTTCGTTTCGTGCCTCCGCCATTTTAGCTTGTTGATTCTCGACTTCTCGCTTGGTGGGGTCGCGGGGCGAAAACCCACTAAATAGCGGGGGCGCGGGGTAACTTCGCTAATTTCGCCCCGCAGTCTCGCAAATAAGCATTATTTCGCTCCTCGCCCCTGCTACTTTAACTTGTTAATTATCGACATTTTGCTTGGCGGGGTCGCGGGACGAAAACACGCCAGTTGGCGGGGCGCGGGCGAAGTTTTCTTTATTAAACTTCACCTGCGCCCTCGTTAATTAGCGTGTTTTCGTTCCGCCCCAGCCATTTTAGCTTCTTATTTCTCGACTTTCTGCTTCGCAGCATCACATGGCGAAAACACGAATGGCATGAATCCGCCACCATAGTATAGGTATAAAGCACAAATTTATAATGACAACTTTTTCATGTCGAAATATACTAAAATAAAATGGAAAGGAAGGAATATCTTGAAAGTCGGGATTAAGGAAGTCAGCTTCTGTTGGCCACTATTGGCATCATACGGAGGAAATTTTATGAATGTTGTCTTCGACTAAAAGAAAGCACATCACACATCGCCCCACCTCTTGACCACCGTCTAAGAATTATTCCCTGCCGAAACACAAAATCCATTCATTTAAGTCAACCGCAAGAAAGAATTTATAGTTCTACTGAAACTTCAGTCATACAAATCTATATATTTACATGCATACGTTTAACACTACTGAAGTACTCTGGTACTGTACTTTAAATTTGTAAATCGGATTTAAATTTATTTACAAGAAACCCTACCGGAGAAACGTCAAAGAACTTTATTTTAAATATCAATAAGTCCACTCCCTTTTTTATTAGCGTTTGTTAACTTTATACAGATGTTGTTTTTTTTATGCATACTAAAAGTGCATCAATGTTAAAAGATATACAATACAGATACATGTATATATGTTATCAAACCTAAAATACTTACTATTATCTTCATTGCTTAATTTTCTTTTCTCTAGTTTTGCTTTCGAATTCACGCCCACATAGGTGGCGCACCACCAAATAACTGTTTTTATCTGAAAGAAAAACCTCTTCAAAACTATTTAAAAGATACTTTATTTATCTCAAAACAATGTACATTTGCGAATACAAAATGTAAAATATGATTTGTAAGATTCGATTTTACTACGGAAATGTTTTGCTTATATGCGTTATTGCGGTCCTTTATATTTCTATGTCTTATTTAGCTAAAGATACTTCAGCGAACAGGTTTTTTAGTACTGTTGGACCTGTTACTGTCGCACAACGTCAAATAAAATCGACATATAAAGTTATGGAAGTCAGAGCTATGTTTTATTCTGTGAATCGTACATTTTATTACAGAATATCATTCGTTACATACATCATTTTAGATCTACCAAAAGCTTTTTCTTAGAAGTCGTAAGATATAGTTCCAAATAGATAGAAAGTGTTTGTTTTTTCTTCTATTCATGCCCCGCTAAAGTGTTGATCAAGTTAATATCCGAATAAGTCATGAGATCCGAAGTTCAAAAGGATTAACCACTTTTACTTGTTTAAAAACATGACAAATAAAAATAGTAAATATTCCAGTTTAAAATTGTTAAGGTTGCGGTAAAAGATATAATGTTCTCTTCCTCGGTCACTGAATTTGTACCACTAACCCAAAAAGCTGTAATAATGTTTGTCTAATTAGTATCAGGACTGTATTTCTATGCATATAAGTACATGCTATTTATAGTATAATATCATAGTTTTTAAAGGTTGTATATTGTACAACATGTACAATGTTTTTTGTCTGGACTGAGAAAAAAGTGAAATAGATGTAATTTCTCCTTAAACATCTTTGAAGTTATGTGAATTTATTTGAAGATAAATTTTTTTCACGCTGAGCATTTTGTACCATTTTATTGAGTTTTACATCCACAGTAATATATGGGTATCTTTTCATGGAGTAACAACATTCCAGTGTGACACATTTGGTGAGTCGTTTCACTGTAAAAATAATTTGAAACGTCTTAAGTCTCGGTATCGCATTGCTAATGACAATGACGATTTGACACGTCACGTCACACGGATTTCCAGTCATTGTGAAATCTGATAATAAACATCATGAAGATTTACTAGAGATTGTTGAGGGAAATGAAGTCGATGGAGCAAAAATGAGCTACATGTAGACGTAATACAATAAGGAAATGATGGACAACAACAAGTTAGCCTTATAGGTAAAAAACGTTATGTTTCTTGTAGTTTAAAAGGTAGAGTGTTAGGTAAATTAGGTCTTATGTTGCTGGGTAAATTAGTAGCTTTGTATCATGAAGTATATCAACATATGTATGAGGCACACAGCGTCACAGTGGTCATATTTGTTCCTAGTCATATTTCCTCAATGTATGTAGAAGTCATTCTCTAGATATGTCTTATGTTGTTGAACATCTTTTGTTACAAGTAATAATAAAATCCTTCAATGGATGTAAAAGATAAGCTCCTGACAAAATGTTCACCACAATAAGACTTGAATGTTATAGCATAATCGAGGTCCTTTATATATGTAAGGGACCGCCACAGTGGTCGAGGGGTTAGAGTAGATGACTTCTAATCCAGTTACCTCTCTGGCGTGGGTTCGATCACTGGGAGATGGGTTGGAACTTTAGCACGGAGGAAGGTAGTCTAGTACTGTTGTAACTCTCCAGGAACGATGGTTAGGAAACTACCCGCCTATATGACTGAAATACTGTTGGGAAAAGGCGTAAAATGAAACAAACAAACAAAAATATATGTAAGGTCAAGGTTACTGATAACTGGGGACAACTGAAATGTTATTTACGTCACGTCACATTAGAAATGAACACATTATAGTAACTAAATCTTCATGTGTTTTGTAGGCTTAGGACAAGGAGGGGAGGCAGTTTATTTACAGGAAACACAAGTGATTGAAGGTCCTGACGGCACAAGATATATTATAGCAGGATCAGGCGAGGAACTACAAGTTATTGAGTCTTCTAACCTACAAGTTACTGAGGTAAAAGTTTGTTTTTTTTCATACACATTATTTTAATATAATACTACATTTGTCAGTTACTATAAACAATTAAGATCTAATGAGCAAAGATTAGTTTCAACCCTAAAACTAAGACTTGATTTATGCAGAAAATCTCTATCATATTCAGGCTCAAGAGTTTGGAACACTCTCCCAATAAATGTAAGAAATTCCACCATTTTATAGACAGTCAAAAACAATAATCTGAAATGGAGCTTCTCAGGTGGGAAACACAGTTCAGTTAAAAGGTCGCACATGGCCAATAAAGTAAATTTTATATTCTAAATGTTCACATTCATATTTTCTTATAACAGTTTATTTCAGTAACTTGTTTTTGTATGCTGTATAACAATTTGTAAATCTTTTGTTGTTTAAGAAAAACACTGTTACTCCCTCTTATGTCGAGGGTAAATCAATTATTCTCTTATCTACTATAGCAAGAAACAACAACAATTACATAGGAATAACGCTTAATATTTGGTAGTACATATTACAAATTAATAGAATCAATCGGTATTTATTTGTATCTGTTATGTTCTTGTATTTGGGATTCATCAGATGTATAGCATTGTTGCTGTATCCGAAACTCTGAAACGAAACTAAAACAGATCTGAATACGTGGTTACAAAATATTACAAAACAGAATAATATTGTGTAATCTGTAAAATATTAGATAACAAGTTATGCTCATTAAAACAAAGAAAATTCATTAAATTATGCAACTTTAATAAGTTATATTTCAAGAAAAGATTTTTTGTGTGTCATTTGAAGAATAATGAAAAAAGCCTAAGACATTCAGCAAGAATTATGTGTATTAAAATACTTCATTACAAAAACGTTTGTTGTAAGAAGGGATGGGGTCGGGTGGGGTGTATTTAAACAGATTATTTAAGTACCACCAAATGCAAGCGTCGAGTGAAGAAAAACCGCGAAAACACTATATATACTACCCCACTAACCCACGAAATACACGTGCACCGTTAAAAGAAAATATTTAAGGTATCACTCCATATTTAACTTAAGGCACAGAAACCATACATAAACGCTCATTCAAGCTATATCCGATACGAGAATAATTTCATTTTGTTACTGAACATATTTGATATAGGCTCATAGGGAAGACTGGGCTTGACTAAATGTAATGTGTCTTGAAATAAAGTCATTATTTTTTCTACTACTACCAATTTTATTATCATTATGATTATTATTATTATCATTATTATTATCATTATTATTATATCTACTAAAGTTCTGGTACATGTATGTTATATGAAATGGTCATAGAAAAGGTCCCACTCGGTGATTAAAGGTCAACATTTTGTCTGTTGGAGGGTATATTTTGTGTCTCGTCCATAATTTTTTCATCGTCCAAGGGATTTTAAAATGCTAGGTACAGATGTTCACAATAAAGAGACGGTAAGTTATGGATAAGGCACAACACATGGATCCCAACCTTCAAGGTCACACTTTGGGGTCAAACCTAAACACAGTCTGTTAAAGAAAGTATTTTGTGTCCAGTTCATAACTTGTTCATCAGTCAAGGGATTTTGTAAAAACTTGGCACAAATAAATATTTACAATAATAAGATGATGTGTCATGCATAACACCTGGACCCTTACCTCAAAGGTCAAGGTCACATTTTGAAGTCCAAGTCTAACAGGGTATGATGCCAAGTAAGGTTCAAGCAAACAAAATACAAAATGTCATTGATACCATGATCGATAAAAAAGTTACAGACAAGGAATGTACCCTATAACTGAACAAACAACATTTCATTATATTTGTAGCTTGTTCAGGAGGGTGAGATTGTAGAGGGAGGAGTTATAGAGCAGATACAACAAGTGGAACATATAAAGGATTCTAGTAGTGGAAATATTTTGGTCATGAATGATGGTGAAGAACAGACATTAAGTACTTTGGCAAACATGGCGAGTGAAGCTTCAGTGGTTAAATTAGATTAGAATACTATCATCATGGTTATTTTTTGACAAGTTTTAACTGGTTATTTGTTAGAAAAACATGTTGATATTTTTTATTGAATGTTAAATCTTATATCATTTACTTTAAAAGAAGAGAACAAACATAAAGAGATTGCCTACACATCCATTGGTAAGTACATAGAGGAAATTCATGTTTTTGTGTCACCTTGAAAAAGTCCACATATAGGATTACTTTTGTTGGTGGCAGTGTCGCGGCGTCCCCATAGTCTTGCTTCTTACATGCATCGTTCAATGACCTGAAGAGCAGTGCATAAGAATCGGTACTTTGCACTTCTTATTTTTGAGTTATTGCCCTTTGTTATTTTCATATTTTATAATTGTCCGGGACATTTCAAATTCTCCTAAAGTAAAGAAAGCTATCAGTGTTTTTTTCACTTTTGGGGGAAGGGAGTCCTTTGGAGGGGGGAAAATGCATTAGGAGGGGGAATTTTATTTGTTTACGTATTTTATATTGTTTTCTTTGCGGTGGAAAAGGAAAGCGACTCTTGCAACACAAGTTTAAAAAACGTTTCTTTTTCTTAACATACGTACGGATCTAAAATATTGATGCGTCGCATGTTAAACTTGTTGGGACGCCGAGAGTAGCTCCCCTTACCTACCAGAGAACGATTTGTAAACAACCTTGCTTAACAGTAACTCTTACAGGCATAAGATAAAACATATTTCGGCAGTTAGTTGCAAAAAAAAATCAAAGCACAATTTGCTGAATTTGTTTGGGTCTCAGAATGTCAGAAAGGTGAAGGTTGTGAGATTATAAACAAATTTGTTTTTGTAAAGTGCCAACAATGCTTTCCAGTGTTTTAACTGTAGTAAATTGGCTAAAAGACTTATTACAATACTGATAATCAATTCAATGTTTATTTGACTTAAAAAATGAAAAAAAAATGAGTTGCCTCAACTGGGATTTGAACTCCAGACCACTATTTCATAAGCGAGCGTGCAAACCCCTCAGCCACGGTGAAGTTTTATCTTACTGGCCTGAAGAAAAACCATATTATTCTAAGTTAGGGTTTGTAACTCATATATTTCGACGGTAAACCTGTTGTTTAACACAGATGTAAATAATCAATGAGCTTACTGTAAGCATGTATATCTATAAAGAATGAAACAATATTAGAAATATTCGACCATTCGGGAACTATTTTGCTTGAAAATAAATTCGCCTGTCATTTGACAATCTTTACGCATTGATCTCCCCTGAATTTTTCGGCGTTAGTGTACATATAAAGGGAAGTAACCGCTTCAAAAAAGTGGACTACTTTAGGCATTTGCAATTAACAGCATTAGGCTCTGAAATTTCGCTACCATTATTTGTTTGGTCTGACGACCCAAACAAATAAAAAATGATATTCATTGCAAGCAAATTCGGGCTGCTATATAGGTGGAAATTTAGGATTTGAGAGGGTTGAAAATACTATTTTGAGGGGGAAATGGAGCCGAATTTTGCTGAATATTTTGGTGAAAAAAACACTGGCTATGGACATGAAACTTCATAGGATAATAGATCTCATTTAGAAGAAGTGCAGTGCTTTAAAGCCAGTACTCTGTACTTCATGATTTTCGAGTTATTGCCATTTGTTGATTTTAATACTTTATTTTTGTCCAGGCCAATTCTCCTACACTTTAAAAGCAATTGACTTGCAACTTCATAGGATGATGGATTTCATTGAGAAGAAAGCAGTGCACAAGAACTTATACTCTGCACTTAATGATGTTTGAGTTATTGCCCATTCATTTTCTTACTTAATACGCTTGTCTATAGCATAACTTAGTCACTATAAGTTTGACTGTAAGCTTTTTTCATTGACCTGAAGTGCAGTGCTAAAAAGTCCATCAGAGTCCTCCATTTAATTTGTCAGTGTAAAACTTTTCCATGTTTTTTTTTTATTTTTGATAATAAAACAGTTTTATTAATCCTGATGTAACATCCTTACAATCAGTTCAAATGCCACTAATGTTAACTGTTATAAATAACCTCTATTTAAGAAGAAAATGCCCAACTGACAGCTAAACTGTTGACAAGGCAACACATCCAACTCGCAGAGTTCTAGTTTCTATGATTTATTTTCATTGAAAGATATGAAAATAAAATTAATATTTTAAAAGTGATGTTGTGTACTGCCTGAATGAAGAAGAAAGAAGTCTGGAAGTAAACGCATTTTATTTCATCAATATTTCATTTAAACCTGTTATCCTTACTTAATCAATCATTTGTGAAAAAATAAGCCTAAGATATGAAAATAAAATTAATATTTTATAAGTGATGTTGTGTACTGCCTGAATTTAGAAGAAAGAAGTCTGGGATTAAACGCATTTTATTTCACCAATATTTCATTTAAAAGTATTATAATAAAACCTGTTATCCTTACATAATCAATCATTTGTGAAAAAATAAAAGCCTATTGTTATGTAAATTGACAATGTAAATGTTAAAATCATACTATGTTTGTTGATTATAATTCATAACAGTATAAAATATGCTGTATTTATTTCAAATGTATATTTGATTTTGTGATTACATAAATTTAAACTGATTAAATTCTTTGGGTACTTGCATATATATTTTGTGCTAAGATCAAATAAATGTTAGACTGATAGTCATCTCATAGCATTGTGAGTGTTTATTTTACCTGACAAATTAATTTGTTTATCCTTAATATTGAATGAAAATAAAATATGATAAAATTACGTTTTAATTTTTTATATTTTTATTACCAATTATTGTATAAAAACACCCACTTCTAAAAGGTTGGTACATGTCCATTTCGTTAGTGGACATGTGTGTTTCTGCTCAATAACAAAGGCACAGTTATATGACCAAGTATTTATTTTTTTATAAAATTATTGCCTTTATCAATTTATACAGAAGTATTCTTGTTTGATTGTTTATGAGTCTATAAACTTATAGACAAACTCTCTTACCTGTTTTTGGATTCACCAGTACTAAAGGTAAGCAATGTTTACGCCCAAGGGGGAAATGACACCTATTTTCATAGGTGCCGGTGCTTGTAGAAGAAGGTTATTTTCATATATATTTATATATACAAATAATCATGTATAAATCAGCATTTCGTAATACAATATACATAATATATTGCAGATTAATAAGAGACTTGTCTTCACCTAAAAAGCTACATGAAAATATGTCTGCTATATAATTAGAAAAGTTATAATGCGTTTCTATTGATTTAAATAGGTGACATGTTACAAGTACCTTGGCATATTTTTCTATTTATCACTAACAATTCCTCAGTCGTTTAAACAATTGAATATCGCTTATACATTTTCTCTATTATATCTATGTTAAATTGTCTACATGACATGTGTCTTTTATACATTGATGTATTAAGCATGTTATACATCAAATAGAAATCATTACATTTTTGCCGGACTGATATTTCCTTAGATATATATGATTCATTATAAACTGATATACACTGTTGTTGTATAATACTCCATTAGCTAATATTATAGAAAAACATAAATTCCTGCAGTAAAGAGTATTGCTAAATTCTTTCTATTTTCTTTGTTTAATGAGAGATATTCAAACACTAATTTGTCTATTGAAAGAAGCAACTAATACACAGTTTTTCTTTTTGTCATAGCACATAGCAAATGGATTCTTAAGACCACCTTTATTATCAACTAATTCGCCCAGACATTTACCATCTCTATCAAACATCATGATGTTCTTTGATCTACAACCAGAAATAAACACTGTCCCATCCTTGGCTACACATACGCCACTTGTATCGGCAAGCCTTTTATCTCTCAGTTCTCTCTTCACCGTACCATCTCTGTTCAGACAGATAGCACCATCACTAGAATCTGTTACAATAACAGTATCTCCACTGACAGCCATTTGTTGTATATATGATTTAAATATGCGTTGACCATCGACATCATTTCTGATAGACTTTATTAATGTACCAGTCATACTGTATACATTTCTAACCATTGTACATCAGATACCCACAGCTCTCCAGCACGATATTTCATTCCCAAGTAGCCTCCCACCTTAACGATATTACTCTCTCACCTTAGATAATGAGCCTCCTATTGATATACCAAAACCAAACTTTGTTTGTTGTACAGTTTCACCGCGCACCTCAGAAATTAACCAGTAATACAACAGAAATTACCTGGTAGGATATGATTCTAGGATCCCAAAAAATCTTTAATGTTATAATTCACATCAAGCCCCCTTTATCCTCTTATTATGAAAGTCAGTCAGTATGATTGTATCCATCTGCAAGCTGACATATAATCATTAATGTAGCATTTGTTGGTACCGGTCATTAGTCATCTTGATATATTAATCTCCTCCCGTAAAACTTACTTGATATATCCTTTTGATGTTAATAGATTTTTTCCTTTCTGTTAGTCTCTGAACAAACGCCCTAGATATGTTGATGTTGTAATAGAATACTTTAATTCTGTATTCTCTGTAAACGTAAACACACACAACCTTTATCCTCACTTTGTTCAATCACTTTTCATTGCATCGTTTACAGTCTGTTGAATAAGTTTTGTCCTGAACAAATTGTTCTCTCATATTAAGATTATGGGCTGTCTGTAGCTGGCTACTTGTTTTCTGAAATTCTTGTTTAAGTTTAACTTATTTGAGAGATATTTGTCTCCAGCTCCTCTTTAACCAAAGAATATTCTGTCTCCAGAGCTTTCAATGCTTCATGCTTCAATTTCTCGAATATGTTCTATCAAGTCAAGTTCAATTGCCTCTACCTGTGAAATTAGGTCATTTCTATGCTTCTCAATGCTATTGTTGTTCGTCTGCATCTTCTGTTCAGTGTCTCTTTAAAAAAACGCTTTTTGAATGTTAACCATATCTGAACTTAAACGCTGCATTCCATTTGCTGATTTGAAAGAAATATCAACGTCTTCTAAATTAAGTATTCCACTGCAAGCTCTGAAGGGAAAAATAATTATATCGATTAAACAGCTAAATAAAACATCACCGCTTTCACTTTCTTACAAGTCTGAAATATCCAGAAAATATGAGAATTGTATTAGCATAATTTTTATAATGGTCAAAGGAATATAAGCAAACTTTTATTCAAAGAACAACATCAATGCAAAACTAAAACTATGTTTTTTTTAACATTCTAAATCGAAAAGTCCTTCTCTTATTGTCCACAGCACGTCCTTTTTTTCATTGTTACAAAGCAATTATCAAAATGAAAATGTTAGCTATGACTTACAAGTAAATCATATTTTCTTTTTAATCTCAGTCATCTTTTCTATATTTTCATGTTTGATTATTGAATAAAATTA